ATTGGTTGAATAGACAGCCAGACAGCAGAAACTTAGCATATTAGGCTATTATTATATAGGATTTCTCCATTTCTGGACTTCATATTATTGTTGTCATACATTTAACTTATATACATGTTATAAAGCTCTCACGTTTTTTTTTTTTTGTTTTTTTTTCCTTTTTAAAAAAAAGTTAATTTTGAAAGTATTACCTAGGTCCTTCTTTTCCCCTCCTTAAACTCTTCCAGCCTGCTCCTATCCTCCCTGCACCCTCTACCCCAGGCCCTCACCATCTCATTTTCTGTGTCCATGGGTTATGCATATATGCATACAAGTTCCTTGGTTGATCTCTTCCCACCCACGGTCCCTTCTCTCTAAAGATTCAACATTAAACAGTCTGTTCATGCTTCTATAACTCTGGGTCTATTTTCCCCCAAAAAATATATTTGTATTCATTTCAGGGAGGAAAGAGGAGGGAGAAAGAGATAGAAACATCAATGATAAGAGAGAATCATTGATTAGCTGCCTCCTGCATGCTTCCCACTTGGGATTGAGCCCACAATCTGGACATATGCCCTTGACTGGAATCGAATCTGGGACCCTTGAGTCCACAGGTTGATGCTCTATCCACTGAGCCAAACTGGCTAGGGCTGGATCTACTTTTGATCATCAGTTTATTTGGTATATTAGATTTCACATATGAATGAGATCATGTGATACTTATCTTTCTCTGCTCTGCAAAATACTTTCCAGGTCCATTCTTGCTGTTGCAAATGGCAAGAGTTCTTACTTTTTTATTGCTGCATAGTATTCCATTGTGTAAAATGTTCCATAGTTTTTTATCCACTCATCTGTTGATGGGCACATAGGCTGTTTCCAAGTAAAGCTCACACACTTTTGCTTAAACATCAATTCTCATTCAAAGAGATTTAAATGCTAAGAAAAAATGTTATCATTTTTTATTGTAGTTACCATTCCCTGTCCTCTTCCTTCCTTTATGCAGATCCAGATTACCATCTAATATTCTCCTATGCCTAAAGGATGTCCATTAACATTTCTTATAGTAAAAATAGGTTGATAAGGAGTTCTTCAGATTTTGTATTTTAAAAAGACATTATTTGGGTTTCATTTTTAAAAGATATTTTTAGTAGGTATAAATTCTCTAATTTGACTGATTTTGTTTTTCTTTTAGTCACTCAGATATTGATTTAACACTTTCTTGCTCCCATTGTTTCCAACAAGATTGTTGTCATTCTTATCTTTTCTCTCTGTAGCCAACATGCCTTTATTCTCTGGAAAGTTTCCCTCTTATTACCATTTTTGAGCAATTATAATGGGCCGTAGTGCTGTTTCTTTATATTTCTTCTATCTAGGATTCTTTGAGTTTCTTGAATCTATGCATATATAGTTTTTAAATCACTGTTTCTTCTAATATTTTTCCTGGTGCCTATTCCCCACTTTTTCGAATTCCATTTGTCCATGTATTAGGAAGCTTGAAGATATCCTACAGCTCATTGATTTTTTGTTTCTTTCTTAAATTTTCCTGTGTGTTTTATTTTGGTTAGTTCTTTTATGTGTTTAAGTTCACAAATCCTTTCTTCTACAATGTCTAATTTTTCATTAATCCAACCCAGTGTGTTTTTCATGGCAGGCTGAAATGAAAAAATTATAGTTTTTATTTGTAGATATTTAGTTACATTCTCTTTATATTTTCCATGTCTCTACTTAACTTTTGAACACATAGAATACAGTTATAATAACTGTTTCAGTGTTCTAATTTTAACATCTGTGTCTGTAGTAGGTGAGTTTCAATTTATTTATTTTCATTCTCATAAGCTATATTTTCCTATTTTTTTGCATGCCTAATTGGATGTCAAACCTTGTGAACTTTGTCTTGTTGAGTGCTGGGTATTTTGTATTCCTATAAATATTCTTAAGCTTTATTTATTTATCTATTTATTTATCTATTTATTTATTTATTTATTTATTTGGGGGGGGAGATGTGGAGATACAGTTAAGTTAAACTGCAAACAGTTTTATCCTTTCAGATGTTATCTTTAAGATTTGTATAGATGGCACCAGAGTAGTGCTCCACCTAGAGCTAATTATCCTTAACTACTTAGACAATACTCCTCTTAGTTATCTACTCAATGCCACATGAATCATCAGTTTTTTCCAGTCTGGCCAGTGAGGAATAGGCACTATTCCTGGCTGTTTGTGAGTACTAGTCACTGCACTATTCCTTCCAATGTTTTCCCACTGGTTCTTTCTCGAATTTAGAGAACAGTATCTTCTATTCTGTATTCCCCCGAGTCTAGAGTATTGCTCTCAAGTTTTGACTGATCAATATCATCCTCAAAAATGTGGCACAGAAGAGGGTTCATTCTGGGATAAATTGCTTATCCTTTGTGATCCCACAACAGACTGTAACTCCTCTATCATAGAAATTACCATATCGTCTTGAAATTGCATATTTAATAGACTTGTTGAGGGCAGAGACTGAGTTTCTCTTGCTCAATGCCATTTCCTCAGTATTGAGCACAGTAGTAGTACAAGTAATTGTGAAATATGAATTCTGAATTCTGCTTCCAAACTGCTTGGTGAGAAAATGATCTCTAAATAAGTTACAGAGTTGCAGAACTCTAAAATGGGAGATTTTAAATAGATAAGGCCTTAGTAGTTCACCTGACTTTGAGGTTATAGTCCTATCCTGGCAGGTGGGATTGAGTATTGACACTTATAAGCCTACTAGAATTCGTGTACAGATAGGATCCGGCCGGCCCACCAGCCCCAATTAGGGCTGATTTGGGTTGATCAGGGCCCATCAGGGCCGATTGGGCTGGGCTGGCCTGAGGGTGTGGCCACGGGCATTTGGCAGGCTATGCTTTCCCTCTGGTCAAATACCCAGTTGAACTCCCAGTCAAATGGACAATTTGCATATTAGCCTCTTATTATATAAGATTTCACAGTAAGCCAACTAATCAGGGACATCATATGGGTGGGGTAGGTACAAAAGGCTTCAGACTACTCCAACAGCCTTGGGGCATATTTGAATCTGTGCAAACCTCTCCTTTCTTCCACATATATTTTAGTACTATTGATGCCTGGCCCTGAGCCAGAAAGCCTCTAGGGCATTGTGGCAAGAGCAATTGTTCACATAGTATTTTGTGTTATGGGTAGGGGGCCTTTGCTATCACATGTATCCAGACGGCACTATCAGAGTTTCCATCCAGCCTGTTACATCAAGATCAATCAAAGACATCTCTATTCTGTATTTTCTTTTGACTATCTGGACATGTACATCTTTCTTACCTTGTTTTAAACTAAATTCCACAATATTTTAGAATACTTATTCCGTGTCCTAGATATTCCAGTTACCATTGGGACTGGCCATTGGATAAGCCCTTTAACAAGAGAAATAGTACCCCCAAAGTGACATAAGGGGTGGAACAATATTCAATTTCTGAGCTGTGGATCTCCTTTGTTACAAATCTTTCTCTCCATCTTCTGCCATCATACTCATAGTACAGCTAATCTAATGCCTTGAGCCCAGACAAATGTGAAATGGAACAAAGTGAGAATAGTAGGGGAAGTGTATTCATTCCATTGATTGGTTTATTCATTCATCAGTTTAATATTTATTGAGCATCTACTATGTGTCAGACACCATGTTGAATGTTAGTACAAAGACTAGCAGATATAGACTTAGTCTTTTTTTTTTTTTTTTTTTTTAAACAGGACCCTCTCTGGGCTAAGAGAAAGCTCTATTTTATATATATATATATATATATATATATATATATATATATATATATATATTGATTTTTTACAGAGAGGAGGAGAGAGGGATAGAGAGCTAGAAACATTGATGAGAGAGAAACATTGACCAGCTGCCTCTTACACACCCCTACAGGGGATGTGCCCGCAATCAATGTACAAGCCCTTGACCGGAATCAAACCCAGGACCTTTCAGTCCGCAGAAGGACGCTCTACCACTGAGCCAAACCGGTTTCAGCTAGACTTTGTCTTTGAAGAATTCACAGTCCTGTGGTAGTGGCAGACAAGTGAATAGTTATAATAATGTGAGTGAGAAATGCTAAAGTAGAAGAATACATAAGGCCAATATCCAATTTCTTGAGAGGACATAAGTTCTTTGAGAGAAATGGTGTTTATCTTTCCTAACAACATAATTTGTAGAAGGTTGAGCACTGTGTAAAAAATCAAAACAACAGACAAAGAAACAACGACAAAAAACTGCACCCTGGATTCTGATCCCAGATTTTTCTCTGAGTAGCTGTGTATCCTTTGACAATCATTTCAGCTTTCTGAACCTCCGTTTCCTATCTGTAAAGTGTAACTGTTGTTACCATTTCCACCTACCTCACCAGGTTATTGCAAAGATCAATGGTCATGAGAGTGACTTCTTAATTAATTGTAAATATCCTTATAAAATAAAATATGTAATCACGTTAGAGTCTCACTTGGTTTTTGAATTTTAAATGAGTTGTTCAGCATTTCATGCAAGTGCTGAATAATCTTTTTTTAAAAAAAATAATAAAGCAAGAGAGGGAACCAGCAGGTAGGCATCCTTCACTGTAACAGCTTTCATAGTTCAAAGCAGGTCTGACTTGACCTTTTCAGAACCTCAGAAAGATATTTACTAAAATGAGAAACCAAAGAATTTGTCCAAGAACATAATCTCTCCAAAACCCGAGCCTGAACCACTTCCCAAGGTCTTTAAACAACAACAAAAGTCAGAAGCACCAAGCCCTGGCCAGCTGGGGGCTTCTCAGCTCAGGAAGGGCAAGTTCAGGAGGGGCTGGACCAGGCTTCCCACTCGCCCTGTGACGCACAGGCCCCGCCCCCAGGCCACCGCTCTATCCCGTGACGCACACGGCCCGCCCCCAGGCTGCCGCTCCACCCCGTGATGAACGGGTCCCGCCCCCAGGCCGCCGCTCCACGCTCCACCTCGTAACGCACACGGCCCGCCCCCAGGCCGCCTCTCCTCCCGGTGACGCACGGGGCCCGCCCCCAGGCTGCCCATCTCTCGCGGGATCTCCTGGGTAGACGGATGGGGTCAGGCCCCATCATGGCGGCGGAGGAGGCGGATGTGGACGTTGAAGGGGACGTGGTGGCAGCGGCGGCACAGCCCGGGTGAGGCATAGAGACCGGGCCCCGCAGGGAAGCGGAGGGACACGGATGCGCGGAAAGTGCCTTGGAAAGGCCGCGGGTGTGTCCAGGGTCAGGGGAGCGGAAGAACCCCCGTAGGCATGGGGCGTCCCGGAGCAGAAGGGCCGCGCCCATCCCGCAGGCCGGCTGCTCCTGCTCCCCAAGGCCCTCTGCCGGGGGCTCGTGCACGTGTCGGACGCCCTTTCCCATTTTACAGGGATGCTGTGAGCATGTGTACTTCGCCCTAGCACATTGCAATTAGATTCCTTCTTTACCTCCGCCTCAGAATCTCGCCATAATTCGCCCTGTGCCTGACAGTAACTAGAACCCGGGCTGCCCGGGACGGGACCTGCGCTCTGAGACCCTTGTTCCAGTATTTGCAAGCCTGTGACCTTGGGCGTGTCGTTTCAGTCCTACTGGCCACAGGTTTCCTCTTCCACTTAGGGTTAGTGGTGGAAAAGTTTCCGAGAGGCAGCTTGGCTTCAAGGCACGGGGTAGGACTGAGTTGGACAGCTCTGGGTTCTCCTGCATCGCTGGCCCTTCCCGTTACTAGCAGTGTGGCCTTGGGCCATTTAACTGGTCCCATCCTCTGACAGCCCATGTGTAAACTGACAGTCATGATATGTACCGCGCGCGGTTATTGTGAGGAGCCATTAAAATAAATACGGGATGAATTTCTGCCTGTGATAGGGTGTTCTGTAAATGTGTTCTTTGCCATCCGGTTACTTTTAGGGATGGTATTGTGAGGACCCAGCGAGGAGTCAACACTTATTAATACCGATTCCTGATTCCTGCATATGAGGCCAATGTGGATTTTAAACAGCAGTGTACAGACGGAGAGATCTAGCCCTTTCATTTCTTGTTTTCTGAGAAGAAATTGATACATGCCATTAAAAAAAAAATTGTGCTTCCAGAGTCTCCTTTTAGTAATGGAAAAGGCCTAGACTGATGAGGAATCAAAAGAATTCCGTTCCAAACTCAGCCAGCTATGTTGCTTGTAACTATGAACAACTTTATTAGAACTCTGTTAGGTTGAACCATGTGAAATGTTCAATCTTAGACCATTTTTTACCTATAAAGTGGCGATTTCATATGGTCCAATCTAATAATAGAGCCTCCATAAATGGTGGAGGAGAATAGTAACTCTTGACAATGAAGGTCTAAGATAGAGGGTTTAAAGTGCTCGTGAACGCTAAAGCACTGTAAAAATGTGCGGAGTAATTAAGTTCATATGTAGTTATTTTTTCCCAAAGTCTTTAGGTAGAGCAGCCCAAAGTTATGCAAAATGAGTAGAGAGCCTATTTTATTAACAATTATCTTGTTAATCTTGACCAAGTGCTTTTGCTTGCATGATTTAATTTAGTTTTCACAAGAAGTCTATGAGATCAGTGTGCAAGGATATTTATTTGCAGTCAAGAGAGAAATAACTTGAACTTGGAAACACTAAAGATCACCTGAGGGCATTGGCTCTACCCCTTTTCTGTGGATTCTTCTTCATCTTTATTTTTCTTTTTCTTTTTAATATATTTTATTGATTTTTACAGAGAGGAAGGGAGAGGGATAGAGAGCTAGAAACATCGATGAGAGAGAAACATCGATCAGCTGCCTCTTGCACAACCCCTACCGGGGATGTGCCCGCAACCAATGTACATGCCCTTGACCGGAATCGAACCTGGGACCTTTCAGTCCGCAGGCCAATGCTCTATCCACTGAGCCAAACCGGCTTCGGCTCTTTATTTTTCTTATTGTATTTACTTTTTCTCCCATGTCCCCACCCCATTTCTCTTTCTTCTTACTCTGTTTGAGCCTTGAGTCTATTGGTGGCACCTCTGATCATCTTAGTCTTATGCAGGAAGGATTACAAAGGTTGTTGTTTCCTGGTGGTCAGTCATTGCTTTACCATCTCCAAGGAGTATCAGTGACATTATATTCTGGGGATTCGTGTCCCCTGATGTGATTTTTCAACTTTACGATGGTGCAAAAGTAATAAGCATTCAATAGAAATCGTACTTCCAATTTTGAGTTTTGATTTTTTCCGAGGCTAGTGATAACATGTACGATACTCACGTATGATGCTGGGCAGTGGCATCATGTAACTCCTAAATAGGCAGGGGATCACAAGAGATTCTCCTACAGTAAACTGAGTTGCCAGCAGTTTTTGGATATTGTGTTCTGAGCACGTTTAAGGTAGGCTTGGCTAAGCTATGATATTTGTTAGGTTAGGTGTATTAAATGCATTTTTTACTTAGGATGGGTTTATTAGGACAAAACTCCTTCGTAAGTCAAGGAGCATTTACACTTGCTAAGTGCTAGGTACCAGAGTTAGAGGATGGCATTGAAATTTTTTCCCCTTCTATTTCTCCTACCATTCCTTATCATCCTCCCTTTCTTTTGCTTGTCCTTTAAGTCATAGTGTTCTAAGTGGTTTTTGTCATAAGACATCTACTCAATAAATACATACTAGTAGTCCCTGGTGATACCATATCTCAAGACTTAAATTTCTGTTTGTTGGGTTGGACAATATGAAAGTTTGCCAATATTTGACCTACAAAAATGACTGTTTCATAAGTTCACTTAATACATGTTGATCTTGCCCAAATCTCCCTGCCAACTCAAATTTTTTCCTATCTTCATATCCATTTATCCAAGTTTCTCAGTCTGTTTGCATTTGGATGTTCCACAAGGCCTTCAATCTCAGCCTATAAACCTTCCCCACCACATGTGCCTCTCTGGGTTCCCTACTTCAGTAAATGGCACCATCCTCCCAGTCACCGAAGCAACAGACTTACATGTATTCTTTACCTCTCTCCTTCCACTTCTATCAGTTATGAATGGTCTATTGATTCTTAATATCCTCTCAAATGTATTCACTTCTTCCTATTCACACTGCTTGTTCTCGAGGTCTAAGTTACTGTCACCTTTTCCTAGTGTTTATACTGGAATCACTCTTAACTGCTCCTTGCCTCTTTGGCTCCTTCTACTCTTTCCTGAAGTTAGAGCATTCTTTCTTACATCCAGGTCTGATCATGTTATTTTCTTCAATCCCCAGATGGCTTTATGATAAAGTCTTCATTCCTTAACTCCTAGAGACACCTGTTTGATCCATGCCTCATCTACCTCATTCATTCAATCATTTAAGAAATATTGATTGAACAACTCTGTATGCCAAGCTCTGTGTATACAGCAGTTACCAAAACTAAGTCCTTGCTTTCGTAGAACTAACATTCTTATTAGATGAGTCAGACAGTAACATTTCTGTATATGTCAGATGGGGAGAACTGGAAAAGATGAAGGAGGGAAAGTGGTCGGCTGACTTACCAACTGAGTCCCTTGCAATTTTAACCAGGGATAACTATCAGGACTGAAACTATGGGTCCTTAAAGGTCAGTGTGAATATAGTGTAAGAACTGGATTTGGAAAAGGGAGAAGCAACAGAATTGGCAACAAGTTGAATGTGCATTTTGAGGAAATAAGGGTAGGTGCAGATTTCTGTCTTGGGGCTAGGGGATGGAGGTGCCATCGACTGATATAGGTAATGATAAAAGAGTAGAATATTTGAGAAACCACCTTCCAGACAAGGATCCAAGATGGCTGCACAGGTAAACACCTAATCGCAGCAGCACACAACAATTTCAATGGAATACAACTAAAATATAAAATGGTCATTGCCCAGAGCTACAGGTAGTCTACTGACTGAAAATTCTACAACAAGAAGGAAAGAGAAAACCAGAAGGAAAATCAGAGGAGCTGAAAAAGCTTAAGGTACAGAGACATGCTGCGCGCGCGCGGAGGGGACAGAGCCGGAGAGGAGAGAAGGCTGGGCTCTTGCCTGGCGTTCCCTAGCAGGAAGGAAATAAAAGCCCTGGACTGGGCTAAACTTCAGAACCGGCAGCACTGAGCCCCAGTTCTGGGCCAGACCCTGGGGACCCAGGCTCAGGCAGGGGAAGATGGGGCTGTGAGGCGGAATCCCAGGGGTGCGGCAAAAAGCGGAGCCCCTGGAGTCATGCACATTGTGTGCAAAGGAAGGAATGTTGACTCTGATGCTAGATTGCCTTGGCGGGAAGGAAATGAGCTCCGGCCGTGCTGGGCCCCAGTTCCGACTGTTCTGAACCCCGGTTCTAGGCCAGACCCTGGGGACCCAGACTCAAACAGAGGGAGATGGGGCTGTGAGGCGGAGTCCCAGGGGAGTGGCGAGGGGGCCCCTGGCGGGGGGGGGGGGGGGGGGGGGGGGGGGGGGGGGGGAGGTGCCGCTGGGCCCTTGACTGCTGATTGCAGGCCACTAAGCCAAGACCGGAGGCTGCTTCCTGGGTGGCGCCAACCCCGGCAACAGGCTGAAGCCGCGCAGGAGGCCGCGGAGAACAAAGGGGTTCCGCAGGCCAGCCTGCTGAGCTTCCAGGACGAGGAGGAAGAAACCGAAGAAGTTTTCAATGTGAAGAAATCAAGTTATAGCAAAAGATAGTAAAATTACTTAAGAAAGAATACAAAGAAGATCTTGAGAAATCGAAGACTAATACAGAACTCAGCTCAGCAGCCAACATTGCAACATAAATGTGTTTTAAAAAAAAAAAAAGAAGAGAAAAAGGACAGAATGCCCAGAGTGGCCAGGCCCAAGGCAGTGGAAGCTAGGGCCTGGAGCAGCAGCAGCCAGGCCCCAGAGCAGCAGCAGCCAGAACCAGAGCAGCAGCAGCCAGGCCCAGAGCAGCAGCAACCAAGCTTGGAGCGGCCAGGCCCGGAGCGGCTGAGCCTGAAGCAGCCGGGCCCAGAGCAGCCAGGTTGGGAGCAGCCAGGCCCAGAGCAGCAGCAACCAAGCCCAGAGCAGCCAGGTCGGAAGTGGCCGGGCCCAGAGCAGCCGGGCCCAGAGCAGCAGCATCCAGGCCCGGAGCAGCCAGATCGGAGCAGCCAGGCCCGGAGCAGCAGCAGCCAGACCTAGAGCGGCCAGGCCCAGAGCAGCCGGGTCAGAAGCAGCCAGGCCCGGAGCAGTTGTGGAGTGGACCAGAGCAACAGAGGCCAGGCCCGGAACAGCTCGCTCCTCGCCTGCCCATACCCTAGGGCTGCCTCTCAGACATGGCTGGAAACTTTTGGGGGAACTTGAGGGTCTGCTGAATCAAGTGATGAAGGCTTAGATCTGATGTGTTGAGTTAGTATAGCGCTGGGGTGTTGATCTGTGAGTGCCTTGTGTGGGGTCTGGATGAGGTTGGTTGATCTACTTGGAAATGTCTTTTGTGTGAAGTGTATCCTTGGGCAGGTGGAGGTATTATTGATTTGAGAAAATGCTAAGTAACTGATTTACTATCTGAAAAATTTAAAGTTCTGAAAGTTTAAGGTCTCTTGCCAAAAAGAGGTTTTAAAGCTAACACCTTAATTTTAATGGAGAAAGGGGAGGATAAGCCCTTCCCACCCAGAACAGGTAATCCAATTCCAACCAGCAGCTATCTTTAAACAATGTGTTCACTTACATTTGAATGACTACACCTTTTGATAGCCTAAGGGCAAGTTTACATGTAAACAAGTTTGCTTCCCAATTCCCAGGGCAGAAAAAACAAGGTTTAAAATTATTATAATAGATTTTAAAATTTATTCTTAGAAGTGTAAAAGTTTATTAATTAAAAAAACAACAACAAAAAAAGGCTATTGAAAAACCTGATGAACAATATTAGCTGTTGATTATAGTAGAGTCGGAGATATGGGAGGGGAATGGACTGACAGTTCTCAGGGAAAGGGGGAGTGGTGGATGGGGAAGAGACTGAACATAAACTATGCACCTATGGATGAGGACAATGGAGGGTGGAGAGGGGGCGGAGAGTGGGGTGGGAACCTGGTGGAGGAGGGAAGAAATGAGGAACCTTTGGAATAATATGAACAATAAAGATTGATTAAAAAAAAAAAAAGAAACTGTGTTAGAAATATTGCCTTATCTGTTTTGAAAATGCTTTTCTAAAACTAGCATGTGTAATTTGACTTTATGTTGTTTGGGGACATACAAACTTTAAAAATATACAGTCAATTATGTCTATTTTTATTGGCTTTTGGATTTTGTGTTTCATTTACAAAGTTTTTTCTGACCTCAAAAATGTTTTTCTAAGCCTCAATAAATGTTCTCCAAATGTTGAAAAAATAAATAAAATAAAAAGAGTAGCATATTTGAGAGGAAAGGTGAACTCAGGTTTAAACATGCTAATATGGGATACCTATTGAGATTCAGGTATGTGTCCACATACACCAGCGATGTGGGTGTTGCTAATCCTTATTGAGAAATAACATGTAAAAATATTTCTGAAGTAAATTTGAAGTGGTACTAGTCCCACCTCTTGCATGCTTGGCAGACCTAGTTAAGTAAATGTTTTCTTCTGCTGATACAAGTTTCAGAATCCCTTAGTTTGTATTTCTGGTAGCCCCTACCGAATCTAAATTTGCACGAGATAAAACCTTTTTGTTATCAACAATTGAGAGACATTATCACTTTTAGTTTATTGTAGATAGACTGTTAGCCCCACAATTCATTATAACCACTACGGAACTAATTGAAGATTCAAAAATGTAAAGAATTTGACTGTAGGTTTTTGCAGTCAAATTCTTATCACTACACTAGGTCTGGGAAAAGTCAGTAACTTAACTGGGAAAATTTATAACTTTAGGACATACCTTGTTTCTCCGAAAATAAGACATCCTCCGAAAATAAGACCTAGGGCATGGAAAGATAAGACATCCCCTGAAAATAAGACCTAGCGCAACTTTGGGAGAAAAAATTAATATAAGACACTGTCTTATTTTCGGGGAAACAGGGTACAAAAGCAAAAATTTAATTATATCGTAGATTAGGCTTTCCAAAACTTAAATATTTAACTGTTCAGCCTTTTTGCATATGAAGTGAACATATGACTTGAAAGAGTTCTTATTAGTTTACTAATGAAAGGAGTGAATTTTAACAGTTTGATCCCCATGGATATAGAAAAGAGCCCATTAACCCAAGTTAATTTGTTAAATTATATGAGTTGTATTAAAACATTACATTCTCGTATCTCTTCATTGTGCTGTCCTTCAACTATTTTCTATTCAGTTTCTTCCATTTGTTTATTTTTTTTCTATTTAAAAAAATATATTTTATTGATTTTTCACAGAGAGGAAGAGAGAGAGGGATAGAGAGTTAGAAACCAATGAGAGAATGACATCGATCAGCTGTCTCTTGCACACCCCCTACTGGGGATGTGCCTGCAACCAAGGTACAAGCCCTTGACAGGAATCGAACCTGGGACCTTGCAGTCTGCAGGCTGACACTCTATCCACTGAGCCAAAACGGTTTCAGCTTTTTTTTTTTTTTCTATTTTGAGGGTGGTGCTATTGATGGTAGCTTTCATGCTTTAGGTATATTTAAAAGAATTAATTGTAAAGTTGAATTCCTACATACACCTCAAAAGAAATCTGAAGTGTTGATTCATGGCCACAGAGCATGTGTGGTTGCTGTTTTGGGTTGTTTTTTTTTTCCTTATGAAGTTGTTTATTCTTGGGAAACAAAAGGAGTGAATGGACTTGATGTTTAGCAGTTGAGATAGGGTAACTTAATTCACAGACCAAAGAGGTACCACAGGCATTTCTAAAACATTAAATCTGTTAAGGAGAGAAGGGAACTAAATATTTGCTTAACATCTCAACCTGCCAGTCACTGCTATGTAAAATGTATATATTAACTTACGTAATATCACTTTTATACTCATTTTCTTACTACAGAAACTATGAAAATACAGCATCTATTTTACAAGATCACTATCTTGATTCATCATGGAGAACTGAGAATGGTCTTATTGTAAGTATTTTATGAAAATATTAGGGACATTAAGCTATTACTCATTACCCAAAGTACCTCTTTTTTTTTTTTTTTTAAATTTGGTGCTAATTCTCAGCAATAACAAAGGTAATAAATTTAAACTTTTTTAAAAATACGTTTTTATTGATTTCAGAGAGGAAGGGAGAGGGAGAGAGAGGGACATGTGAGAGAATCATTGATTGGCTGCCTCCTGCATGCCCCCTACTGGGGATCAAGCTCACATGTGCCCTTGACCAGAATCAAATCTGGGATTGCAGGCCAACGCTCTATCCACTGAGCCAAACCAGTTAGGGCGAAACATTTTTCTTACTGAAACTTATTCTTATTTCTTTTGACTTTGAAAAATTGCTACAAATGGGAAACAACTGTTGGATCCAGCTGGATTTGAATGCAAGTCCTTTCTCTCTACTTACAAGATTTGTGAACCTCAGTTTTATCTGAAAAATGGGGATCATTGCAGGGTTCATTTCCTCATTTAACAGTTATTTAATGAGTATGTACTATGTGCCAGACACAACCAGATATGGGGTTCAAATATAATTAAGACATACATGATCTTTCAAGGAGCTTATAGTCTAAAGAGTCAGTTATTAAACAAATAGACAGACCAATTATAAATCATGAAGGATATTAGATACAGACTAAGGGTGACAGGATGGGGAACCTACTTTAGATAAAGTCAGTATGGGAAACAGGAGGTGACTTTTTTAAAAATTATTTTTATTGACCATAGAAGAATGGAGAGGGAGAGAGAGAGAGAAATATCAATGAGGAGAGAGAATCGTTGCCTCCTGCATACCCCCCACTGGAGATTGAGCCCACAACCCAAGCATGTGCCCTTGACCAGAATCGAACCCGGGACCCTTTAGTCCGCAGGCCCGGCGCTCTATCCAGCCAAACCAGCTAGGGCTGAGAAGGTGACTTTTAAGTTGAAATGTAATAAAAGGGGAGTAGATATGTGATGAGTTGAAGAAAAACATTAGGCAGAAAGAATAGTATTACAAAGGCTGGTTGGAAGTCAGTTCTAGAATATGGTAAGGGGAGGTGTGACAAGGTTGGGACGGCAGATGAGAGCTCTGTCATATTTGTAGGAATCAAGAGACCAGTTAAGAAACATTTGAGTATTCTAAGCAGTATTTGGTGGTAACTTGGCTTGAGGTGGTGGCAGAATCAATAGAAGTAGAGAGATTTAATTATATTTTGGAGGTTGAGCTCTTTGGTAGACTGGACATAGAACTGAAGGAAAAGGAAAGAATCCAGAGTGATTCTTGGGTTTCTAGCTGGAATAACTTGGTGACTAGTAGTGCCATCTATAAAGTTGGGAAGGCTGGGAAGAAGCAAGGTATGTGATGGTGAATTATGATTTATTTTTTATTTATTTATTTTTAAATATATTTTATTAATTTTACACAGCCGGTCCCAGCTGAATTATGATTTTTAAAAAAAATATATATTTTATTGATTTTGTACAGAGAGGAAGGGAGAGAGATGAGAGTTAGAAACATTGATGAGAGAGAGACATCGATCAGCTGCCTCTTGCACACCTCCTACTGGGAATATGCCCGCAACCAAGGTACATGCCCTTGACCAGAATCGAACCCGGGTCCTTTCAGTCCCCAAGCCGATGCTCTATCCATTGAGCCAAACCGGTTTCGGCTGAATTATGATTTAAATGTTAAATTTAAGAAGCCTACTAGATACTGAAGTGGAAGTTTTGAGGGGGGCAGTTGAAAATAACAGTCTAGATCTTAGAGACGAGAACTGAGCTGAAATTTTTAAAAAAATATATATATATTTTATTGATTTTTTTACAGAGAGAAAGGTAGAGGGATAGTTAGAAACATGGATGAGAGAGAGACATTGATCAGCTGTCTCCTGCACACCCTCCAGTGGGGGTGTGACCACAACCAAGGTACATGCCCTTGACCAGAATGGAACCTGGGACCTTCCAGTCCACAGGCCGACACTGTATCCACTGAGCCAAACCGGTTTCGGCCTGAGCTGAAATTTTTTAAGTTTTGAGAGTTGAAAATGAATGTGATTATTCAAGGAGATATTGTGGCTTATGGGAAAAAAGAATTGTGAGTTTTGGAAATAGGTGAAATATCTAGCATAATGCTGATAACTAATAGTCCTTTATACATGACTAGAGGCCGGATACAGGAAAGTCATGCAAGAATAGACCTTCCTTCCCCTGGCTGCTGGCACCAGCTTCCCTCTGGCACCTGGGACCCGGGCTTCCCTCACAGCCCCAACTTCATCAGGAAAGTCATCCAGAAGGACACCAGTCTAATTAGCATATTGTGCTTTTATTATCATAGATAGCCATTATTACTTTATCATGGATAGGAGCTTGAGCCTTGGACTCTTAACAGACTTGAGCCTTTAACTCTTAACAGGGATGCCTCTGTGAAGTAACAATGCCTATTTCGTAGAGTTATCATAAGAATCAAAGCTATGTCTGTGTGCTCTGTAAATGACAGCTGAAATTGTTAATCATATCATTGTACATTTTCATTTAACAATATATGGAAAATAACTTCAAAAAGTAGTAAATAAAAAGAAAATATGTTCTTCTCTTTTATAATAGCCTTGGACTCTGGACAGCACCATCAGTGAAGAGAACAGAGCTGTCATTGAGAAAATGTTGTTGGAAGAAGAGTATCCTTTAATGATTGTGAGGAAAGAAAATTTCAGGGTTTAATACCTCTAAATGCAAAAATTACAAAAGAGACCACTGTTAATTTGGCCCCAGATTGCTACAATATTATATGTTACCTACCTATGCAAAAAAGCTGCATTTTATTCCTTTGGTTTCTGTTTTATTGCTAAGTCTGAGGTATGAATCAACATTTTTGAATTTTTATTGTTAACCAACTCTTTATACTGTCTGAATATTGATTTAAAATTATAAAATAAGTTAGCTAGAACCTGTAGTCCAAGACCATTTAATCCAAATCCCCCATCTTCATTTATATAAGCTGAAATCCAGAGATATTGGTTTGTCCAAGGATTCAGAATTAGAATATGTAAAAGTTCTCACTTTTTTAATATATTTTATTGATTTTTTACAGAGAAGAAGGGAGAGGGATAGAGAGTTAGAAACGTCGATGAGAGATTAACATCAACCAGCTGCCTCCTGCACACCCCCTACTGGGGATGTGCCCGCAACCAAGGTACATGCCCTTGACTGGAATCGAACCTGGGACCTTTCAGTCCGTAGGACGATGCTCTATCCACTGAGCAACACCGGTTTTGGCAAGTTCTCAGTTCCTACTCAACCAATTTACAGGTGTTATGTAAGAGGAATCAAAGTAAAAAGCACAAAACAAAAACAAAAGGATAAAGATGTGCCATCCTCCTCCTCCTCACCCCCCCATAAAAAAATCCTTATCCATGGTCAGGCACTGGCTTCTTGTCCTTGTTTCTTTAATCTGTATGTGATGTTAGCAACTTAATTTCTTTGGACTAAATTTTCTTATATGTAAAATGTGAGGATTTAACAAAATGATTTCTGATTTTATGATTTATAAAGGGTATTAATAGTTTCTTTTCTTTTTTTTTAATTAAATTATTATCTGTGTACATATTTTAACATTGCTGCCCCCCTCCCATATATTCCCTCCCTCCCCAGAGTTTTGTGTTCATTGGTTGTACTTATATGCATGTATACAAGTCCTTCGGTTGATCTCTTATCTCCCCCAGATCTCCCTACCCTCCCCATTGTAATTTTACAGTCTGCTTGTTGCTTTACTGTCTTTATATCTGATTTTTGGTTTGTCAGTTTATAATGTTCTTTAATATCCATAAATGAGTGAGGCCATGTGGTATTTCTCTTTCATTGACTGGCTTATTTCACTCAGCATGATGTTCTCTAGTTCTATCCAGGTTGCTGCAAATGATGAGAATTCCTTCTTTTTTATGGCAGCATAGTATTCCATTGTGTAGATGTACCATAGTTTTTTGATCCAATCATCTGCTGACAGGCACCTAGGCTGTTTCCAGATTCTAGCTATTGTAGATTGTGCTGCTATGAACATAGGGGGTGCATATATCCTTTCTGATTGGTGTTTCTAGTTTTTTGGGATATATTCCTAGGAGTGGGATTACTGGGTCAAATGGGCGTTCCATTTTCAGTTTTTTGAGGAAACTCTACAGTGTTCTCCACAGTGGTTGCACCAGTCTGCATTCCCACCAGCAGTGCACGAGGGTTCCTTTTTCTCCACAACCTCGCCAACACTTGTTGTTTGTTGATTTGTTGATGTTGGCCATTCTGACAGGTGTGAGATGGTACCACATTGTCGTTTTGATTTGCATCTCTGGGTATTAATAGTTTAATGAGTAGTGGTTTATTTAACATTTTATAGTAGCCTCCTTTAAAACAGGTGAAATTAATTTTAATAATTTATTTAACTAGTAATGTTATTTCAACATTTAATATAAAAACATTATTGAGATCTTTCACATTTGTTTCCTAATCTTTGAAATTCAGTGTGTATTTTATACTTACAACGTGCCTCAGTTTGTGCTAACCACATTTCAAGTATTTAGTAGTCACACATATGGCTATTGGCCAATGTATTGAACAATGCAATTCTAAATGAATGAATACTTAAGTAGTTACTGGTTCACTTCCAGACGTGGAAGAAGTAATGAGAGTAAAAGCTATGTCAGCTCTTAGAGAACAGGGATAATATTTTCTTAAATCTTTGTCTTCAGTATCTAGTACCTAGCATAGTGCCTGACATCCACAATATACAGGCAATAATTGTTAGTGAAGAATATTTCTGATTAAGTTATTGTAACAGGCAGTTTTAAGACGTTTGAGAGGGAGGCTTTCTGGTAGATTTGACCTAAGTGTTTGCTAGTTTATTAGGGTAGAGAACAACGCTGAACTCTTCTCTGTTACCTTGAGAAATATGAAGACAGTTGGTGTTCCAAAATTACCCTGGACGACCAATCAAATTCATCCATTACATTCTCCATATGGTTTAGGGAAAAAGAATTAAACATTGAAGATGTTTCTTCTCTTAGCCACCGCTGAAAAGGAAGATAAGAGAAACGAGCATTTATGTAATATTTTATGCAGGTACCATTTTGTGTTAATCCATGTAACAGCCCTGTGAGGTATAAATAATTTTATCAAAAATTGTACAGATCTGAAAAGGGCTTTGAAAGGAATTGGTTTATTTAGGATTCGAGTGTGACTTTCATGAGTTTCTATATATATAAAAAGCCAGCAACCAGAAGGCAGTAATAACAGAACAACTGATAGCTATGACACCCACTGCAGCCAGCGAACCTGCTGGATCAGGGTGGGGTGGGGCCAGCTGGCCATCCTCCTGCAGCTCCTGCCCCACCCAGCTCCACCCCAGATCAGCACCCCCTCCCTGATCAGGGGCAAGGAGGGCCAGGCAACCACCAATGGCCCCTCCCTCAGGCCACTGGCTCCTGATTGGCCCCCACGGACCCTATTTGGGGGCGGGGCTGGCCAGCCAGCTAGGCCACTGCCCACAGCCCTCCCCACAGCTGGCGGAACCCCGATCAGCCCCTACCACCCCAATCAGCCTGCAGCCCCTTGCCCCAGCCAGCTCCACCCCCGATCGCCCCTCCCCACACCAATTGGGGGTGGGGCCAGCCATCCCATTGCCCATAGCTTTTCCCCACAGCCGGCTCTGCCCCCCTGTAGGCTCTCTTTCAACCCAATGGGGGAGGGCCCACCAGCCAGTTGCCCACAGGCCCTACTCCAGCTGGCTCTGCCCTAATTGGACCCTGATTGGGGTGGGTCAGCCAGCCAACCTCCTGCCATCTCCTCCCAACAGGCCTGGCCCTGCTCTGCCCCATTGGGATTGGGCCAGCCGGACCCCAGTTGTGCACAAATTCGTGCACTGGCCTCTATACTAATAAAAGGGTAATATGCTAATTAGAGCAGATGTCTTCTAGACAAAGCCGCAGTGGCTGCAAGGGCCAAAGGCAAGCAGCCATGGCAGCACCTGTGAGGGCTGAGGGCAGGCAGCCATGGCGGCAGCTGCGAGGCCTGGGGCTCAGGCAGTCATGAACCCTGGTGGCTGCGAGGCCTGGGGTTCAGGCCTCGCAGCTGCAGTGGACTGCAGTGGCAGCAGTAATGGGGTGAAGGGGGTGGTGCATTCCCTTGATTGGCCTGGTCGCCTTCCACAGAGGGAGGCTAGAGGCAGCAGTATCGAGGGAGTAATAGGGGTGGCGCCTTCACCTGATTGGCTGGTCAACTCCTGCAGAGAAAGGCCAGATTGTAGTCAGTAGGACATCCCCTGGGGGCTCCCAGATTGTGAGAGGATGCAGGCCAGGCTGAGGGACCCCACTCCAGTGAATGAATTTCATGCACTGGGCCTCTAGTCCTGTCTAATAAAGAGGGAATATGAAAATTGGCCATCATACCATAACAAGATGGCTGCACCCACAGCAGAGTCAGGGATTCCATAATACAAAATGGCTGCATCTCTAGCTTAGTCAGGGATCCCATAACACAAGATGACTGCACCCACAGCGGAGGCCAAGTTCCTGTAACAAGCCTTAACAAGAAATCAGCAGGGATCTGAGGTGGTGCCCCCCGCCCACCAGGGCTTGACGGGGGACCTCAGGCTGCACCCCCTGGCCTGGGCCAGGGGACCTCAAAGTGCGTCACCTGGTGGGATTTGACAGAGGTGGGGTCAGCTGGGTTTGGATATAGCCCGATGGGTGTGGGGCTGGCCCGGTTTGGGTCTTGCATAATTTCTAGGTGCACATGGGTGGGTGGGGACTTGATTCTATGCCCTGTGGTGCACCCCAGACTCTGACAAGAGGAAGATTTTCATACACATTTTAATTTTCTTTCATCTCTGACAGTTATATTATAGAGAAAGGGCAAATAGCAATTTTAAAATACTAGAGGCCCAGTGCATGAAAATTCATACACTGGAGTAGGGCTTCCTTAGCCTGGCCTGTCCCCTCTCACAGTCAGGGAGCTCTCAGTGGTGGGAGGTGACCCAGCAATCAGGGGAAGGCGACCTTCCCCCCCCCCCCCCCCCATCACACCTTTGCTGCTGCCATTGCCAATAGAGTAAGCCTCAGCCCGGCCTTGGTTACCTGTGCCTCAGGCAGCCCTGGGGGGCCATCCAAGGCTTACCTGTGACTTGGGCCAGCCCTGGGAGGCTGAAGGGTTGAGGGGACTGGGAAACTGGAGGCAGGTGCATAGAGTGACCGGACCTGCCTGTTGCCCCAGTGGGGCTGAGAGGACTGGGTGCTGCCATGTTTGAAGGCATGGCAGTCAATTAGTATATTCTCTCCTTACTGGATGTGGGCACCACCATCTTTGTAAGGGCATAATGGTCAATTAGCATATTCCTTCTTTATTAGATAGGCTTTCCTCTTAATTCCCTTTTAATGTTTTAATGTGCACGAATTTCATGCACTGGGTCACTAGTATAATATAATGCCTACTTTATATGAGTCATGTAAAAGTTATGATTTTATTGTTTTTAAAGTTTCCTTAATAATTACACAGGTATTATTTATCTAAAAAATCACTTCCAGAAAAATTCTGGCTTGATCAAAAGGAAGATGATAAAAAATACATGAAGAGGTAAAAATTAATTATCATACTTTTAAAAAATATGATCAGTACTTTTACAAACTTCACACACTTCCCTATTTTCTTTTTTCATGTGGTGGTGCAGTCTGCAGAAAACAGCAAAAATCATGTATGTACTTATGTTTAAAACTTTAAAACCTTTTGTATTAGTTAAAAGTTATGGGAAAATTAAATAAAAATTATAGTCGGCTTGTGGAAAAGCTTTCTTGATCTTGAGTTATACAAAAAGATAAAATAAAAATTTCTTGTATACATTGGAATGCCCCAAGGTAATTTTATGCGGCTATTTTTCAAAATTTCTCTTTTGATTTCATCAGATTATGGAAAAAATAGGTTTCTTAGGGATTTGTGGGGAAACTTTTAAAATCTGCTATTTAATATTGGGAATTGACACTGTCAGTTAACTTTTAATCACTTCAAACAAAAATTTAATTTGAATTTGTAGCTTTTAAAAAATTAAAGAAACTATTAACTATTTTATTTAGTGTTTATAAACTTGCATGTTTATGCTCCCTTAAAGGATAAGGCTTACAGATTTGCAGTTGCCAAAAATTTGAGCAATGAACAGACTTTGGCTTTTTCATTTTGCTGAATAAACAAAAATAAAAAATGAAATTAATGAAAAGATTAATGGTGTGCTTGAATTAAATTAGTGAGCCTCATCACTTTTAATTTTTTTAAGAGACTGCAATTTCAAACGCAATAAACATAATGCCATACTTAGTTTTTTTTATTACTTTTCTGGCTTGTTATTTACATGGATTTACATGGAAGAATCAGAGATAATATTTCTAGAGTCAGTTTAAACTTTTACATGCCTTTCAGGATTTGGAAATATTTTAATGTCTGCTGTTTTATGTCCAGCGTAAAGAACTCTATTTGTTTGTTTTCACACTGACTCCCTTTGATGTCTTTTAGTGTTATCTTCACTCAGACCCAAGGATTATGTCTTTTGGGACTCCTAACATACTGAGCTAGAGAATTATAGGGTCAGGGTGAATCTGCCTCGTCATGTAGAGGCTGCAGCCTTCTTCGTCTTTTACTTTTTTTAAGTTCTTAGACTCAGAATATTGAATTTATTTTATGGCTATCTATAATCTTTAGCTGCATAAATATGGAATGTTCCATTTCAGATTTTTTTTTTTTTTTTTTGCAATTCCTTTTTCCCCCCTCAGGGTACAATCTCCTACAAAACCAGCCAGTTTCTCAGTAAAGTGGACGATAGAAGAAAAAGAGCTGTTTGAACAAGGGCTGGTAAATAGAGCAATTTTTGACTTATAGTAAAATAATTCTAGAAGCAAATATAGATAGAATTATAAGGTTAAATTATTTGTAGAGACCAGAAATTTCTTTTTAATCACAGTGATTATATATGTAGTTTTTCTATAGATAGAGTGATAATGTATGTAGTATAGTACAAGAGAATTTAACTCACTTAAGTTAATAAAATATTAAAATAGATTTGGATTGATTTTTGAATAGTTTTTATCCTATTTTTATACTAGTAAAACTCCCAAATTGAACTATTTCTTTAAACTACCTGGTTTAAAAGGGAGAATTATTTAGTTATCTGTGCATATGGAACTGTCTGTGTTGGTTGAGTTATTTTTTATTCAGATAGTTGGCATTGTGCATATAATCTAAATATTTTAGCAGATGTAATAAAAGACAAAACATGGTGTGTTTTTTTGTGTGTGAAAGTTTCACTGAGACCTATATAAATGTCTACAAATTATATAATGGAAAAATATGTATGCCAATTTCTAATTCTGAAAATACTTCTTAATATGAAGACATTTTTAATAAAATATTCAGAAAAGTTTTTTAGCTATGGAAAATAGATTATATCATTTCCTTTAAGGTACACATTACCCAGTGTTATACCAAATAAATTTTGAAGTTATATATTTACATTAAATTTATAGGATATTTATATAATTATGTAGAACTCAGAAATGCTAATTGAAGTATTATTGATAATGTTTCTACAGATGGGAAATTAAATGTGCTTGTATTTTTATAGTCATTACTATGACAGTCATATATTCTGTGATGTTTTTATATAAATACCTAAACTATTGCGTGTTTTATCTCTTCTTGAGATTTTTATCCTGTGCTGTTATATTTTATATTTTTACATTTCAGTCTGTTGCATGATTATCATTTACATAATCTGACTCTTAACTAACTAGCCATTTATTTAAATTGTCCCTTACTGAAGACCACACATACACACACACACAAACACACACACATATCAGAGTAAGTGGGTTGTGAATTTTTAGGTTATTATTGTTGACATTGGTAGTAGTTATAGGAGCTACATCTGCATGGTTCAAAATTCAAAGGTGCCTAAAGTTTATAAGGTGTAAAGTTTTAACTCTTGTCTCAGCCTTCAGTTCTCTATGCCTGAGATAATCATTTTAATTTTTTTTGTGGATCCTTCCAGAGATATTTATCCCTGTATAAACAAATGTGTATTTATTTATATACTAGAAGCCCAGTGTATGAAATTCGTGCATTTGAAGGGGTTCCTCAGCCCACCTGCGCCCTCTCACAGTCCAGGAACTCTCGGGGGATGTTCGACTGATGGCTTACTTCCCAGCCATCAGTCATATCGTACATCCTTAGCACTGCTGCAGAGACTGGAGAGGCTCCCACCACCATGAATGTGCTAACCAGCTGTGAGCTCAGCTTCTGGCTAAGTGGCGCTCCCCTTATGGGAATGCACTGATCACCAGGAGTCAGCTCCTGTGTTGAGCATCTGCCCCCTAATGGTCAGTGTGTGTCATAGTGACTGGTCATTCCACTGAAACTGGCTCTCCGACATCCCTGGAGGGTTACCAGATTGCGAGAGGGCGAAGGCCAGGCCGAGGGACCCCATCAGTGGACTATTGGGGCTGAGGAAGGAAGTGAGAGGTGGGCCAGCTGGAGAGGGACTGCGGGAGGCATCCAGGGCATGTCTGGCCCTCCTCATATGATCGTCCAGACCCCAGCAACAAGCTAACCTACTGGTCTGAGTACTTGCCCCCTGGTGGTCAGTGCATGTCATAGTGAGCAATTGAGTAGCCTTAGCATATCATTAGCATACTATACTTTGATTTGTTGAATGGCCAACTGGACGACTGGACACTTAGCATATTAGGCTTTTATTATATAGGATGTAGATACCATAAACAGATATTTTAAACTTAGAACGGTTTTCCACAAAAATAAATGGAACTATTGGTTATATTTTAACCTTTTGATGTACAATAGTTCGCTTATGGACTGAAATTTCTCAGGTTTGAGAGAAGGGGATTATGTGGTACTGAATGATGAAGGAAGATTTTTTCCTTCTTTTTCTTGGGCATAGAGCTCTCCCTTTGCTCTATTTTAAAATTAATGAATGTTTTCTTTGCTCCTGTTGTTAGTGTCCCCTCTGTAAGCTTCATAGTGCCCAAGCCCTTACAGTTCCTACTGGTCACACTTAACCAGATCTGTCCTATCTCCAAAGTGCTCCATGCTGCCAGTTTACCTGCTTGACTTTATTCCACAATAAGATAATGAATTCTGCAGTAAGTTTATCTTTGCTATGCATTAGTTAAGAGCAATGTAGATAATTAATATATACTCACTAGTAATTTACCCTGAAATACTTTCAGTTTTAAGAAATTATCCACATATCATATTTTCTCATGAATACCACAAATAATTGTATAAATTAAGGTTTATCATTTGGGTCGGATCTTTGAAGATGACTTGCTACCATAAGTCATGACTGCCTGGCCTGAAGCCTGCCCTGAGGTCAACTCCCCTGAGTTGCGGCTGGACTTTTTTTGTTGTTGGTTTGTTTTTCATAGCTTTAAGAATTCTAAAAAATTATAATTGTTGAGTTACTTTGGGAAGTAGAGAATATTTTGTGTTAGAGATATTATAAAGGAGGTTTATGTATGTATCAAATGAGTCTTGATACCTAAAAATTCCATTTAGCTTTAAAATTACATTTATTCCTTTCTGTACTTCAGAACACGCCAGAACTCCCTGGAGTTCTTAGTTTTTCTCACCACAGCTTACTGTTAGCAAGTGACAATCTTCGACAGTAGAGGGGTGTAGGGAGGCTCTGGTTGCAGCTCTCTTCATTTAAAATTCTTGTCAATTCACCCTGATGTCTGTGTAGAGTATAATGGATATTGTAACAGATAAAATCTGGGCAAGAGGGTATTTTTAAATTAGTGTCAGAACATACTCAGTTGATTGTATAAATGACAGATGCAACCTGCCTCCATTTCAGATACTTTTTAAGTTATCTTAAGATTTGGAGCATCATAATGTGCAATATGAATACATAACGGTTAGGAATACATAAAAGTGATGTATCTTTATTTAGATAGCTATGAAAAGAAAACTAATTTCTAAACTATTTTGGTCAGTTGTCATTAAGTCCAGATTCTGAAAGAAGAATGTGGGCCTTGATTTTAAGTCTTAGCTATAAATGAAGCTTCATTGTGTGCTTTAGAAAATAAATGAAGATGGTTTTTTCTCTTAATTTGCTTTTTTTAGTGTGGCATTTGCTTAGAATATTAATAAGTCAGTTCAACAGAAGCAATTTCTTTTTCATTTTGATAACATAGGCTAAATTTGGCCGAAGGTGGACCAAAATTGCAAAGCTAATTGGAAGCCGAACTATTTTACAAGTGAAGAGCTATGCCAGACAGTACTTTAAAAATAAGGTAAGCAGAATATAACTATACTAATTGATAATATTTTAAATAAAATTAGTAAGAAAAGTAGGTTTTAATTCAAGTATTAAAATATTAATGTTCAAAGTTTATATAGTGGAAATATCTCCTAACAACAGGAGCAACAGGTACTTTATAGATGTTTATCTTCAAAATCTCTAAGTATATCTTCAGTGTTATGATTGTTTCTATTGAATAGGTATTATATTATTCTACTTAACTTCATACAGTTAAATAGAAGAAGATTTTAATTGCTCACTTAACCTGTTAACCAAGCAGGACCTATAAATACGTCAAACATAAGCACTATCGGGAACGGGTAGGACATATGAATACATCCTTGAAATATATGTTGCGCCCTGAGAGGGACGGTATATATTTTTTGTAATCTTTATAATTGTTTGTAAAATTTATAATTTTTTAATTCGATGTTTCCATTTTTTGTTGATATTCTTTTCTATTTGTTTGTAATTTTGTATTTTCCTTTGTGCTTTATATATAAATAAATGAAAAAATATATTTTATTTATTTTAATTAAGTATAAATAAAAATAATAATAATAGAAAATTATGTCCACTGGGCATGACATACTGACATGTCCTAGTGAAAGAGTATGCGCCCGTTGTATGTTGCCTAATTAAAAAGGGAACTCCCCGGTTAACAGGTTAAAATATAATAAACGCTTTAAAGAAAAGAACAATAAAGGTACAATACATCAGTGATGTGCTCAGTTTAATAACATTGTATTTATCCTGCTTTTTGTGCCAATTATTAAGTTTTCAAATTGTAATATTGGGGTTTTATCTTGATTTTTAATAAGGTAAAATTAGATGGTCCAGAGAAGGAAGTATCAAATCAGAAGAACAGCAGTGATTTTCAGGTTAAAAGTGAAGATGAAAGCACAAAGTCTTGGACCCCTTCAAGTTTAAGGGGACGTGCTGATCCCAACTTGAATGCTGTAAAAATTGAAAAGTTATCTGACGATGAAGAAGTAGACATCACAGATGAGGCAGATGAATTGACTTCTCAGGCACCTCAGGAGAATCCTAGCAGTGATATTTTATTAGATATCCCTAATAGTAAAAGTAATGAAACCTACCAAGGAGAATGTATTACCTCTGACAGCCAGGAAGATCCCATTTCTAAATCTTCCAAGGAATATCTTCAGAATCCAAAGCACATTGAGATGGAAACGCTTTCAAGCTCAAGAATTAAATTTTGGACTGAAAAAGAGAGCACCAGTGATGAAAAGTCAGTAGAATTAAATGATCAGAAATGTAATAAACTGATGAAAAACTGTGATAAGCATAATGGAAATGGAATAGTAGATGATACCAGGCTGTTGCCTTCTCCGGAGCCTTGTGAAGTTCAGAAAGATTTGAGTGATCATGAAACGCTTTTTCATTCTTGTCAAATGGAGGAAGAGCACCATGAGGAAGAAGAGCTTAAACCACCGGAGCAAGAAGTAGAAATAGATAGAAATATTATTCAAGAAGAAGAAAAACAAGCAATTCCTGAGTTTTTTGAGGGGCGCCAAGCTAAAACACCAGAACGCTATTTGAAAATTAGGAATTACATTTTGGATCAGTGGTAAGGAAGAATTATATTATAGATACTGTTTTAAAACTTATGATACCCTATAGTATTTTAATTAGGCTTATGCAGAAGTTAGTATTTTATAATGCTAATGATCCAGAGAACTTGAACATAATATATTTCAATAGGCAAGACTTTAAGTTTCTTGTGAACTTTTTTGGGGAAAGCTTTGGTAAACATTATTATCTGTAGCTATCTTAATCCATCTCTGTTCATTAGAGTGTTTGGATCTGGAAAAAGGGGTAGATGATTACCTTAAGAAGTACTTTCTTAGGGCATTGTTAGGGAGATATAGAAAGCACTACTGTTCTGGAAAAGAGGATGACATAACACCTTTCCTAGTTTATTCTGTACTTTGAAATACAAAGAAAGAAAACTTCCATGGCAGGATAATGTCATTCTAAATAGCTGCCTTAAGTGCTTTGAACTTTGAACCTGTAGCAGATAGTTCATTGCTTCATCCAGCTTCATCAGGAAACAGGAATTTTTGATATATGCAGTTTACCCTAAAAAATGTCAGTACCTTTTACTTAAATTATTTAGTGGGGGTTGGGGAACAAACCAAAAAACTTCCTACTTTATTAACCTAAATGCTCTGAATGTAATTGAATTTTTCATAATAGCTTGAGACATCATTAAACATTCACAGTTGTTAATTGTTTCAGGATTGTATAGGGCCATCTTTATAGAGGGCTTCTGCTACAATCTAGGAAGATTACCAAAGGAAAACAGGTTATTAAATCAGTAACCATTTTGCTGTACAATATTGAGTGATTTGGCTTTTAAGGATAACTATATTCTTAAGAAAGATTTTTGTTCTTGTTCTTGCAGGCAGTTGAGATTGTTAAAAATATAAGTTTGGGTAAGGGTGGGAACAAAGTAAGGAATAATGTATAAAGAACAACTGACATTAGCATAATGTTTTACAGTTTATAGAAAGCATTTCTGTGTCATCTGATTCCTTAACAACAATCCTGTAAAATAGGCAGCTGATATTTTCAATACTAGTATTTGATAAAATAATTTTGAGGTCAGGAGAGGTTTACAGCCAGTAATGGATAGACTTCTGTGCAAGTCCTGACACTCTAAATCACTCTTTCCATGATTCCATATTGCCTAATTCACACTATTAAAAAAGATAAATTGATATCTAATTTTCATTTTAGAAATAAGAGGATGAATGGCCAACATTGAATGACTTTAAAATAACTCAAAAAATGTCTTTATGAATCATCAGTGAATATTTACTGTAACTTTAATCAAATTTTATTTGTCACTTTGAATTTTGGATTCTATGAGGCAGAATAATTTATAGAGACAGTATAAATTATATAGCAGTAGTTTCCTAATGTCATTTGCCTTAGTTCATGAAGCTAGTTAAAGTGTTGCTGTTTCAGTAGGAGAAAGCAAAAAGAAATGTATTGAATAGGAAATCAGATGTTCTTTCCAGAAATAGAAGAGAGAATGGTTAGGGACTGGATGTGGTATTTAAAAAACAATGGAAAAATTAATGTTTTAAAAATAAAAAGAGACCTGCTTCATTTGTTTGTAGCTAAAAGATCCTTCTCATAAAAGCACATGCAGTCAACTCTCTACTTAGGGGAATTTAATAAAAATAGTAACCAATGCCATTATTGAATGCCTACCAATGCCATGCATTGTATTTAAATCATCTCCAATCCTCTTGACAACCTGTCCTCCTTTTACAGATGAGAACAATGAGTTTCAGAGAGTAAAAGGAACTTGTTGCAGGTTACTATAAGTGAAGATGATATCCAGGATCTGTAGTCTCGACTCATTATTTTCACACTCCCACCTCAGGGCCTTGACCTAGAGACTTTTCATTCTGCTTTGGATGCTTTCCCCTCCAGATCTTGCTGAATCTTGCTTTTTTATCTCATTTATGTCTGCCCAAGGGAAATTAAAGGCCTTCTCTAACCACCCTATCTAAAATAGCTCACATATATATCTCCTTCTTCTCATTCTCTTACCCTGTTTTTAATTTATCTTCATAGAATTTATTACCACTGAAAATATTATATTTTTATTTATTGTCTCTCCCCTCCTCTTCTACCCCCCTCCCAGTGATAATGTAGGCTCCACACTAGGACAGATTTTTAAAAATAATCTATTTGTTCATTGTTAAATCCCTAATGTTTAGAGCAATGCTTGGAATACAGAAGTCTCTTCATTTGTTAGGAAGAAAAGATTGAATGAATGATTCATCATATCATGAACAGATGTTTTGAGAGGCTTTATCATTTGTTTAGCACTGTACTAGATTACTAAGTTCTGCTTAAAGCCTGTGATTTGGATAATTGTTAATGACATCAATTCAATTTTTAGACTCCAGTTTTTTTGGTAGCCTGTTATACCATGCTCATTTCTGCTTTCTTGACTTTTGTGCAGTTTGTTTTCTTGTAAAACATTTGAAATCTCAACTTTTCAATTGAACTTTGAAACCCTCCCACATCACAAATTACTTTTTACCATCTCTGAAATTTTATAGAATTTATTATTTCAATTATGGTTTTTGCTTAGAGAGGCCTTCCCCAAATATCCAATCTAAAATAGTCTATGCCTATTTATCTCACTGTATCCTTTTTTCTTCCTAGCACTCATTGCCACCTGACAGTACAATAGATATTATTCATTAGTTTATTTGACTGTCTCCCCATTAAAGTAGTTCATGAAGCTAGGTAAAGTGTTGTCAGGAAGTGTTAAAGTAAGGTTAGGAAGTTGATATTATTCATCTCTGTATCCTTAGTGCCCAGAACAATGCCTGATTCAGAGGATACAAAATAAAATAAATATTTGTAGGATAAAATCAAGGTTGAGTAAGAAATACCTGTTATATGATTTATCTGAATACTTGGTTTGTAATGTCTGTTTGCATCTTGTCACTTAAAGTGCTTTAATTTCTCTGACCTTTTTGTTTCTCATCTCTAAAATGAGAATAATAAAATCTATATCTTGTAGAGTTGTTGATGAGGATTAAGGTACAGCATCTGGCATAAGAACTTAGTAATGATTTGCTTCTATTAAGCAAATAATATTTAAGTATTAAGTTTTCTATTATTCTTACACTTTATATTGTACCATCTAGCATGGTACATTATACATGTTCTGTAAATATATGTTTTATTATACAAACTTTTCATTTCTTTCATAATCTTTGGGCATTTCTTGATTTCTTTGGGATCCCCTATAATGTCTGTTTTCCACTGAGAGTAAGCACTTTATTGGCATAATGATTAAAGACATAAAATTTTTAAGTATTTATAAGGTAGTTTATAATGAAAAGATACTGCTCTACAAAGTAAAAATAGATGAACCTAGTGATATACTAAAAAATTCAAAAAGCCTAAAATATCATATACTTCAATATATTATCGAAGTGTTCTTTTTAGTCAAGGATTCAGACTTAAATCTGGATCTATAGGTAAATAAGCTTCTAGCTTAAAAGTCCTAGGATAACTGGCATCTATTTTATTTAATTTAATATTGAGAAAGAAGTGATACTTATAAAAATCACACTAGTAAGTTATTATATCATTTTATTTCAGAAAAAAGTACATTTGGGTATTATGTATTTGTATTATATTTACTACACATTTACATATTGTGAAGGGGTAAATTTTTAACATATTTCAAATATTAAAAGTTTTCCCAGAAATCCTTTTTCATGTTTTTATTTATCCAAAATAATTGTACTTCCATCTCTTAATTAGGGAGATATGCAAACCGAAATACTTAAATAAGACCTCAGTACGCCCTGGCCTGAAGAACTGTGGGGATGTTAATTGTATTGGACGGATTCATACATACCTCGAATTGATAGGAGCAATCAATTTTGGATGTGGTAAACATAAAAACCCAACATGTTTTACTTGACATTTTTATCTTATGGCACCCATTAATTTCTTTGATGGTTAGAATTCAGGTGGATTTAGAGAGATTCTATAGCATTTTTGAATAATTGTATTGGGATTTTTCTGTAAAACAGATTTCTGGTGATTAAGCTATATTTCCTTTCGACCTACAGTGAAAATTGGTGGTATAATTTTTAAAGAAAATATATGCAGTCTAGGTAGTACAAATAATTTAAAAATGCAATTCCTTGTCAAGTAAATTTTTAAATGTATTCTACCCCTTTATTAACATGACATATACTTTTTGAAGAAAGATAATACCATAGTTGCAAAATGTTAAAGTAATTAGAACCTTGCAACTCATGGTTTGAGAAGAGTGTTCTGTAGTGTCTTTGAAAAGATAACTAACCAGAAAACTTCCTGTCAGAGATGGTTTTTATTTTACAATAGTTTAAAAGTCATAGAATTTACAGTTTGCCCTGAGGTCTTTGTTTGCCCACCGCACTGTATATTAGTACTAGCTTTTCAGGAAAACTAAGGTGACATAGCTTCCTCAGCCACTAAAAGAAAAATGCAATCATATTTTCTGGATTAGACTTCCAAAGTTAGCAAAGTGGACTTAATAAAAAAAAAAATTAAACAAATTATCCATTTCCTACATAACACATTTTATTGAGATTTCCTTATAATAGCATTACTTTTATGTGAGAACTAAGTGGCACATAAAGTATGTGAAAGTAGATAATATCTCCCTCAAATGTGGAGTAGGATAGAAACATTGAAGCTCTGGAATAAAAAAAAAAAAACTTTGAAATTGGCTTACAATATATAGTCAGTGTAGATGTGTCTCCCTTTTTAACAAATGAAAAAATAGAGTGTTTTGTTTTCCCTAAATTCCAATAGAACAGGCTGTCTATAACAGGCCACAACCAGTTGATAAAGTACGAATCAGAGACAGAAAAGATACAGTAGAAGCATACCAACTTGCCCAGCGTCTGCAATCCATGGTAAGCAGTCACCTCTCTCACTAACTGATCTCTCCAAATTGCCTTTTACCCTATTAAGTAAGGTATGTCTACTCTTAACTGTTTGACAAGTGGCCATTTAGTGGAAGAACATGTTTTCTCTTGTATTTTACCTTGCCATTCACTTTTCTGTTTCCATTCAATTTCACATAGGTTTATAAGGCAAAAACAAAAATCCTCAAATTTCACTGGCAATCTTTAATAGAGAAGTGTAATGTTTTGCTAAAGTGGCCTTAGACTGCTGGATTTGATTTCTAAATCTAAGATTTTATTTACACTGTACGTACAGTTAAGCTCTTTTTTTCTTTTTCTTTTTGTTTGTTTAAAATTCTTACCCTAAGATTCAGTCTTTTGGGATAGTTATCGAAAATATTTTAGACTTTACTTTTTAATTCTTGAGGTTAGTGAATTTTACAATAGTTTAAAAGTCATGAATTTTATTTAAAAAATAAATCCAACAAGTCCTAAAAAACAGAATCATGTGAACCAATAAATAGGTTAAATTGGTAATAGATGAGATAAAAAGGAATAAATACTAGAGTGGGTGTCTTAGAGTACTTGAGCTGAAACCAGTTCTACCTAGATTTACTGTAAGAAAGGATGTTTTCAAATATAGTTACTGGAGATGTTGCTAGTCAAACAGTGACCTCTGGCAAGCTAATTCATTTAAAGGCTTTACATTGAGTTTGCAAAACTGGATATTAGTAATGCAGTTATCCAACATTGTAAATTTTTTTTTTTTTTACCATTTGTATTAACTAAGCAATCTTTTCCTTTCTAAGGCTGAAATATAATTATTTTGCTTCTAATTTTCAATATTTTCCCTCTTGCTGTGTGTTATTGCAAGTTTTCTACCACAAGTGATTGAACAGGAAGTAATTTTTTTAGGGATTCTTTTTAGACTTCAAAGTATATTTTTAAAATGTTTTTACTGATTTTTGAGAGAGAGAGAGAAGGGGGGGGGGGAGATGGATGTGAAAGAGAAATATCGATCAGTTGCCTCCCTTATGTACTTATGTACCTGGATTGGGATTGAACCCAACCTACAACCTGGACGTGTGTCCTGACCAGGAATCAAACTGGTTACTCTTCAGTGTATGGGATGACACTCAACCAACTGAGACCACACCTGCCAGGCCAGTCTTAAAAATACTTTTTGTTTGAGTGTTTTAGCTCCCAAGTGTTTAAAGAAAATGAAAATTAAAGACGAAATCCCATAGAATACAGAAAATAATCACTTCTATTTCTGAGCAGAGTGCTAACTATTGAACATAAATTAATAAAATGAAATTTAGTCAGGCCTTGCCAATTGGGGAATACAATATATTTATGGAGAAATTGCTTTTTGGAAAATCATTTCTTTTTACTTTTATTAAAATGTGCTGTGATTTCTCCAAGTTAATTTTGTTGCCTTTTGCTTTATTTTAACCTCATCACAGCGCACAAGGAGGCGTAGGGTCCGAGACCCATGGGGAAATTGGTGTGATGCAAAAGATTTAGAAGGACAGACATTTGAGGTAACTTTGACCTTTTCAAATGTATATCTTAATGTCACAAATATTACACTTTAAAAGTATATACATATATATGTCTCATTTCCATGTTAATTGTTTTGTTTAGAAGTTACTAATAAACAGCCAAGTAGAAGGATTTGGTGATGCAGTTAACTAGGAGTTGGACTCATTTTCAGAACTTTGATGATCTATTTCTACATTCTGCTCTCTAGCTCAAGAATATTTTCCAGGGTGCTGGGAAGTTGGTATGCCCAGGTCATTTCAGTAAACGTTGCTGAATGACATTTTGATACACCAATTAAAATAATGTCCCAAGCATTAAACATAATACAAATATTGAAGTATTATTTCTACTAATAAAAACTACGGTCCTAAAAAGAAAATAGGCAATGAATGTGTGTATGTATACACCCACACTCATTCTATATATATTATTTGTTTATGAACAGCCAGTGCAGTATAATGGTGTCATGAACAAGGAAGCATCCCCAAAAGGAGGCACTCCCACACATTTGTGTCTTTCCACAATAACAGGTTTATTAAGGAGTCACATGCAGCTTATACACAGAGGGGGAGCTTATGCTATAGAAGCTAGCAAAGTGAGCACCCTTTTCAAAGTTTTAGTCTCTGGTGGTGTCCCCAGATAGTGAGGCGGGTGTTGGTTTTCAGGTAGGCAGCTACAATGATGGCACTCATCTAGTGAATTGGAAGTCTGGCAGGGCTCTGAGCGAGACCTGTGGTACAGCCAAACATAAGTGTTGCGTGGTCGGAGCTCTGAGTTCTTACCCACCAGGGGTGGAGGTCCCTCTCTCATATCAGTGAGTTCTTATCCAGGTGTCCAAACTTGTAGGTTTGGCCATTCCAGCCCCTCCTCAAACTTGACATACACTTGACCTAACTGTCATGGCTAACAGTGACTCCACATTGGATTGTCAAAGGTGTCCAAAACGTCCTCTCTGCTCATGCTCTATACAAATGGAAAATGTGAAGGTAGATAATGCCTCCCTCAAATGATTGTTGTGAGAATTCAGTGAAATAAATGAAATAGGTGTATGAAGGTGGTAAATGTGAGTCTTCTTTTTTTCACCCACTCCCTCCCCCTAACCTCACAACTGAGCACAGTTCTAGACACAACAATTAGTATTCACGTGTTTCCATTGCTTCTTGGCCTTTTGGCTAAGATCAAGTGTAGTAATACATGGTTCCTGCCTAGAAGTAACTTAGATTAATAGGAAAGACAAAGCCTGTGGTTAGTTCCATAATATTGGCCCTAAGAAGTATAAGTTTCTCTAAAATGATATGATTGGGGATGGTTTCACAAGGGATGTGATGTTTCACCTGTGGCATGAAGGATGAGCTAGAGAATCTCAAAATGTAGAATGTAGGTTAAGGCATTCCAGGCTGAGGGATCAGCACAAATAAAGGTATAGACATAGAATGGAAAAATACTAGAAATGTTCTGGGGAAAAGTACATGGTTCATTGGGGCTAGAGTGTAAGGTTGGTACTAGAAATGGAATGAAATACTTCTATTTACATAAGATTTACTATGTATCAACACTATTGTCAGTATTTTACAATCATTAATCTTCACAATAACATCCTGAAATGGTTATTATTACTATATTGTTCCCATTTTAAATACTGTATGAGGAAACTAAAACAAAGAAAGCTTTAAGATTCACCCATCTAGTAAGTACTGTAACAGCAGATCCAGGCATTTTACCTCCAGAATCTGCTCTTTATCATGAACACTGGGATATCTCTCAGTTGTGAAAGAAAACTCAATACTTGCTGACTAGAAATGGGAAATGAGAAAGAGGAAAGACTCAGGTTATCCTGAGTTTTTCGACCCAGGATACCATTAATTGAAATCAGTAAGTCAAGAAAAGGAGTAAATTTTAAGTTTTGTATGGCTATATGTTTTAGAACAATTTTTTAAAACACATTATTCAGCATTTCTGTTTATTAGTAACAAGAAGGAGACACACTTATCAACTTTGTCTTGTTCTCACATGCCCTTAAATATGGTTTTAAAGGAGTATTTTTATTAATTCTACCTCTCAGTGGTTAATGGATCCATGATTAACTGGTATTTTATATTTTAGCATCTCTCTGCTGAGGAGTTGGCAAGAAGAAGAGAAGAGGAAAAATGCAAACCTATTAAATCTTTAAAAGTGCAAAGATCAACAAAAAGGTATATAAATGTGATTCTTTAACTAATCATAAATTATTAGAAAATGCACAGGAAAATATTTGAAATAGTTGCATTATATTTTTCACATTAAGTCAAGAAATGCATGTAAAATTTTTAAAATTTTTTATTTCACTGCTTATCACTTTGTGAGACCTGGAGCACAAGTTTTAAATTTGTTCAGGTTCAGTGAATGTAACTCTTGAAAAGGGGACTTATTTATAACAGATGGTCATTTAACTCAGACATTATGAATTGGTAACCTCATGAATGACTAGTTCTCTCTTTAGGTGGTGCTGATTGTTAGCAATGTGGTTGAATCATTTTGAGTCAATATACTTGAATCATTTTGAGTCTACTAGTTTAGCAGATACTTCCTATCAAAAATGAAATTTAGGTCTACTTATCACAACTTCTATTTTCATGAACCCATAATTATTCTTAGTAGTCACCTCTTGACTTGCTAAAGGCTCACTAATCAGCTATTCAAAAATCTTTTCTAGAAATTTTTTAATATTCAACATCTGATTCCTCTGTTTCTAAAGTCTGCTTATTTTGTGTTTTCAAACAAGACCAATAATTGCTTATTCCAAGGCTTCCAATAATTTTCCCATTCTCTGCAGCTCTTCAAAAAACATGGACAGTGATTTCACATCATGGTTCTTCAATGCTTTAGAATGCATATCCATTCTTGCTATTTTCTCATCTATTAGGTCTAGTAATAATTAATGTCGTTTTCTAATACTTTTTTAAATCGAATTTATTTAAACAATACAACAAAATTTAATCAACAAAATAGTTGCCGTTGTTTTCTACTACTTGTGCCCAACGCTCAGGAAGCATTTTAATCCCTCTGTTGTAAAATTCTTGTGATTTTGATGCAAAAAATTCGGTCAATGCATTTTTGAGGCATTCTTCATTATTAAATTTTTTCCAAGAAGAAAGTTTTGCAAAGAACGAAACAAATGGTAATTAGAAGGGGCAATATCAGGAGAATATGCAGGTTGAGGGAGAACTTCCCATTCCAACTGGCGCAGTTTTTCAGCAGTGATTCTTGCAGTATGCGGTCATGCGTTATCGTGGTGAAGAATTACGCCCTTCCGATTAATCAGCGCGGGTTCTTTTTCTCTTAAAGCTTGGGCTAACCTTTCCAATTGGGCACCATACACTGCACTTGTAATGGTTTGGTTAGATGGTAAAAGTTCATAATGAAGAATTCCTTTAAAATTCCACCAAACACACAATATCACTTTTTTCGCATGCAAGTCAGGTTTTGGCGTGGGCTGCGGAGCCTCATTTTTGTCCAACCATTGAGGCCGCTTTTTCAAATTAACATACAGCACCCATTCTTCATCTCCGGTAACAATTTGCTCTAAAAACGGCAAACGGTTTTGACGAGAGAGGAGCGAACTGCAAATTGTGACTCTTTGATTACTGTTGTTGTCGGTCAACTCATGAGGAACCCATTTTCCAAACTTTTGGACTTTGCCAAGTGCACGCAATTGATTGGAAATTGTTTTTTGTGAACAATTTAAAGTTGTCGCAAGCTCTTGTTGGGTAATTTGAGGATTTTGCACCAAAAGAGCTTGAAGAGCTTCTTGATCAAAATTGGACACACGGCCTCAACCACTCTTGTCATCTAACAAAAAATTTCCCTCGCAAAATTTCTCAAACCAACGCTGGCATTTTCTGGCGCTAACTGCATCTTGACCAAGAGCACTACAGATGTTTTTTGCAGCCTCACTTGCTTTTCTTCCTAATTGGAACTCGTAAAGCATGCAGTGCCAAATATGCTCTTCATCCGCCATCTTCTTAGCCCTAGTTTTGCAACAAAAACCAAACCAAACACAAACTTTTTCAAGCAAAACTTGTTAATTGTACTTTACACGTTCTGTAGATACCACGTGTTTGAAGGTTATGTCAATACAAGTCAACGCCAAGCAAGATTTTAAACGAATGTTTAAAAACGACATTATTACTAGATGATCTTAGTTTATTTTTATTCATGTTGATAAAGCATTTTCTAATTTAAAATCGTTCTTTTTCAATAAATGTTTTTTGAATGCCTACGATATGTCAGGCACTGTTCTAGACCCTTGGAATATAGTATTCAACAAACAAGGTATAGTATGTGTTCTGGAGCTAACAGTCTCAGGTAGAAAAGGAACTAAATAGTTTCACTCTTTCAGTTATGTTAACATGAACATATTCTTTATTTGTTTATCTGAACATAGAAAACTTTTTCATTCTTTTTTAAAAATATATTTTTATTGATTTCAAAGAGGAAAGGGGAAGAGGGAGAAAGAATAGAAACATCAATTATGAGAGAGAACCGTTGATCAGCTGCCTCTTGCATGCTCCCACTGGGGATTGAGCCCGAAATCCAGGCATGTGCCCTTGACTGGAATTGAACTCGGATCCATCAGTCCACAGGCAACGCTCTATCCACTAAGCCAAACTGGCTAGAGCAAAACCTTTTCATTCTTAACATATTTCTTAGATCTCAATTCTTTACTGGCCAAAGCCTTTCTAGTATTTCTCTTAGATTTATTAGCACATGCCTTTATATCTGGACTTGCTTAGGTGTTCCTCTTCCCATCTTTTTTTTTTGTTGCACTTTTTCATTTTAAAATATCAGTTTATTATAGAACTTTCTGTATACATTATTTTCTATAGCAGAACTGTTTGTCATTTATTCATTCAACAAATATTTATTGAGTCCCTACTTTATGCTGACCATATTATTATATGGACAGAAATGTTTTTGAGAAACTTGCATCTTTGTTGACATTTCTTTCAGGTCTCATGTCAGGAAATTGGTTAAATCTTGGACTTTTTGAAATCGGCTTTCAGTGTAGGACACATATCTGGCCATTTTTAATGTTCTCTTCTCTTCTTTGGATATTTAAAGAAATTAAGATAATAGAATTACTTTCTCCGAAAAGTCCTGTCATTCCCTCCACCCCCCGCCTTTTTAAAAATCAAGTCCAAAAGAGCAGTGCTGCTTTCAGAAGGGTTGTATGGAACATTTTAAGAAAATTTCCTTCTTTAATATTTTTCTCTCTCAGACAGGTTTCAATTTTTGATACATGTTTTCAAATTTGTAAATAAATGTAATTTTCCTAATCTTGTTGAGATTATATTAGAAATAAATATTTTTCTTATTTTTCAGCTCATTTGATCCCTTCCAGCTGATACCTTGTAATTTTTTCAGTGAAGAAAAACAGGTACTACTTATGCATCAATGAATAACCATACATAATGCCCTCCTGTCAGACATGAAATACTTCTTCATTATATATATATATAGTGGGCAAGGCTGGGTATATTAAGGGTTAGATGAGTAGTACAGATGGAAAATGAGAGGGTTTTAAATGGTAAATTGTTTTCGAAGTTTGGTTCTCACTGAGCTTTAATTGGTAGTAAGACCTTGGAATGATAGGTGATAGGTAAAGGAAAAGAGGGTGGACATTCCAGTGAGAGAGAACAATTTTTATGCTCCCCCATTTTTATACTCCCCCATTTTTGTTGTTGTTGTGTGTGTGTTTTTTTTTATATTTCAGGAGCCATTTCAGGTGAAAGTGGCTTCAGAAGCACTTTTAATAATGGATTTGGTAAGGATAATCTATTGTATTTCTTATTTATATTCTGATTTATATCTTGTGTATTTTTATTGCAGGCATAAGAGAGAGTATGGAAGACCTGTATTTTGGATCTTAACTATCCTCTTTTACAAGGAATCTAAAAATAAGTCTTTTCTTTTGGAGAAAAGCCAAACAATTGCATGTTTCCATATTTTAGAGAAAGTAAATTAATGTGAGTTTTTGCAGACTGTTTATCATCATTAACCCTGTTTTCATTTCCTAGTGTCCTTTTTCTGCTGCCTTCTAGATAACAACAACAAAACAATACTCATAATTTGGAGTTTCTTTCTACTAAACTACTGAGACTCCATAGTTGTGTATTTGTTTATGGACTTTTTCTGTAGGAGGTTTTAGAGTAACTTTTTACTTTGTATCCTTATATCTTTCCTAAATAAGGAGAGCAAATGGTATCTTTATTTTGTAAGTGAAAAAGTAACATTATGGAGTGTTTGAATGTTTGGTTCAAAGCTTTGCAAACAACAGTGCAGTTAGGTCTGAAATCTTAAGTCTTTGTGCTCTGAGCCCAGCATCTAGCTCCTCTAGCATACTACTTTATATTAGAAACACATAAGTGAATTTTATTCTGACTTTTTTGTCCAGTGGTTTGTTTGGGCTAAGTCTGTTTTATATTTCTTTCAGCATGCTCATGTGTCTATGGCAGAAGTGATTGGTCTCTTAGGAGGAAGATATTCAGAAATAGATAAAATAGTCGAAGTAAGTTCTCAATTTTAAAGACTTTAAAAGATTTTGTCCTACTGACATACCATATATATATATATATATATATATATATATATATATATATATTTAAATATATTTTATTGATTTTTTATAGAGAGGAAGAGAGAAGGATAGAGAGTTAGAAACATTGATGAGAGAGAATCATTGATCAGTTACCTCCTGCACATCCCCTACTGGTGATGTGCTCGCAACCAAGGTACATGCCCTTGACCGGAATTGAACCTGGGACCTTTCAGTACACAGGCTAACGCTCTATCCACTGAGCCAAACCAGTTTCGGCCATACCAAATATTTTTATAGATTTCAGTGACTTCACGTATGATGTGAATTAGAACATACAAATGTAGAAAGTTATGTATTCCCAAAAGTGACTTAACATTCCATCTATTGAGTACCTGTTTGTTTTCCTTTACCACTGAGGAAGAAGGAACACTCTGCCAGGCCTTGGTTCCTCTTTGCTTTCTCCAGTAAAAAGCTATAATCCCTATGAGGCCAGGAAGCATGTATAACCTTATAGATGAAACTTGGTATGCATCATTCTGTTGAAATTATTATCATAAATAATAGGGGTCACTGAAAGAGTATGTTGGTACAGGTATTACATGGGCTGATTTGGAAAATTAACAATTATTATTATTACCTGTTTATTAGAAAGTAGATTCTGAGTTCCTAGCATACAATCACACTTTTGGAGTATAATTCATTTGCAAGTTAAAGGCTGCCTATGATTGTAATCAAAAGGCTTGGCTTTAAAAAGTTTCTGTGTCTATGTGTGAAAGAACTAAAACATTAAGGTTGTAGAATTAACAATTCCAGTGTAATCATACAAGGTTTAATCCTTTTTAGGTCTGTGCAGCAGAACCATGTAACAGTCTGAGTACAGGACTTCAGTGTGAGATGGACCCTGTCTCACAAACACAGGCCTCGGAAGCCTTGGCTGTGAGAGGCTACAGTGTTATTGGATGGTACCATTCTCATCCTGCCTTTGATCCCAATCCTTCCCTACGAGATATTGATACTCAAGCCAAATACCAGGTGTGTTTATGTGTCGTATGTGTATGCATTCTGTAAATGATTGCACATTCTCCCCCACATTGCTATTTCTATTACATAAGTGTACTTTTAAGGTTCCTAGCAAAGTATTGTGTTTTTATGTACTTTACATCTGCAGTTTTTAAATAACTTGCATTTTTTTCTGATTACAGAGTAATACATGTTTATTTAAAATTTTGGAAAATGAGCTATTTTGTTTAATACAGACAAACCATCAAAGTAACAGTGATAATTATTCCCAGAGCCTTAAAATTTTTTTCTATTTTTTTTCCTTAGAGCAGTGTACTAGTCCACTAACTTTGATCCATTTAACTAAATTTGATTTAATTGGGTCACTTTGATTTAATTGGGTCAACTTCTGGCTAATCATGTGCCCCTGCCCCTCCTGATCAAGTGCCCACTTCTGGCTGATCATGTGGCCCCACCTCTTTGAGACCTTGGATGGTCTCTGTTTCTGGGGTGCCATCTCCCTGGTTGGCTGTCTGGCCTTGCTCTCCATCCTGTCAATAGTCCCTTTGTCAAAGTACTTGCAGAAAATCGTTTGTGCATGCCATCTTTTTTTCTTTCTGCTGGGACTGTGACAACTGGTATTGAGAAGGAGAGAGGAGAGCAGTGTCCCATCTAGGGTCTATGCAAGAGGTCCACAGGGGCCTATGCGGTCCCTGGAAGGCTGGAGGAGGGAAGGGTGGTGAGGCAGGGATGCTAACTAATGAGTGGGAAGCCCTCAGGGCAAGTGTGGCACACACACAATCACCCCACACTCCTCTGTGAGGAGCAGCTGTGACCCATTGTGCAGGTGAGGCTACTGCAGCAGAGAGGGTGAGTGACTTCCTCAAGGGTGGGCACCCAGCAGTAAAAGGGCAGAGCTAAAATTGGAACCCTCAGGTGCCCAAGTCCTGTGTCTCCTTTACCTGTGACCTCTGGGTAAGTGGCCCTTCACCCTGTGGCCGTTTGCTCTGATGGGTTTCACCCTTCCCCTCCCGCCCCCTTCTTCACCCCTAGAGAACAGGAGTCCTATCATTGCACCTGTGCCTCTGGCGATTGCTCTCTCTGTCCCTCGGTCACTCCCAGCTTGAATTGGGGCGAGGGTCTTGTGTGAACACCCCACCTCCCCTCGCCTTCTGTGGCTTAGATTACAAATTACCTTTATTTTTCCTTTGGCTTCTGCCACCTGCCTCCACTGGCAGATTTTGTTTTACTAGTACATCGAAAAGAAATGGATTTGGGGTCTCCAAACTGTCTGACTTCCTGCATTTGCTCTGTGAGACATGGCTCTGCCCCCAGAGCCTTTAAAAATTGATGGGAACAATAGAACAGAGTCTGGGAATAATTGAAATAATCAGAAACATAATATATATTTTGCATCTCTGAGAAATACAAAGTTTTATTTTCTGCAATTTTATGCTTTTGCTATAGGCAGCTGTTTGTAAATTATTACCATATTGAGAAAGATTATACTAATGGGTTGTGAATATAATTAGTAAATACATTCATGGCAAATAAAGATTTTTTTTTAAAGGTTGGGTTGAACACATTTGAAAACTTTAGTGTGAAATGACTATAGAAGACATTTCATTTCGTTGCTCTTTAGATGTGAATTTTTAAACCCCCTTTTGTTTAAAATATTGGTATGGATAAATACTGACTTAAATTTATGTAGTTCAAACTAATTGTATTTTACCTTTCATTGTAGAGTTACTTCTCCAGAGGTGGTGCCAAGTTCATTGGAATGATTGTTAGTCCCTATAATCGAAATAATCCTTTACCATATTCCCAGATTACCTGCCTGGTTATAAGTGATGAAATTAGCCCAGATGGCTCTTATCGTAAGTTTTCAACAAAAACAACTTCTCCCTGTTATCTTTTCTTCTTGGAATTCTACAAATCAAAGAATTTTTAATTATGTGAAACTAGTTGGTGGAAAAGTTTGTGTCCTTAACAGGGGAATCACTATTTGCATGCCACATAGTGCAATCACCTTTTTCCCTTTAATGCTATTCATCTAGATTCCAGTCTCCTCTGTCTTACTGTGGTTGTTGGGCAAAATGATTACAACTTGGGAAGAGTATGGTCAAGCAGTGTGTGTGTTAGACACTGGAGGCACTGCAATAAGTACAATTCATGCAGACGGGCTTTCTCTGCGATGGCTTACAAATGAAAAAAAGAAAAAGTAAAATGACCGCCCTACCTACCAGCTCTCTATGACCTTAGTTTAGGCTTAACAGTGCCTACCTTTTTTATTTCTTTGCTTCCATTCTATTACAAGAAAGAATTTGGTTGGTTTAACCCCATGGTTGGCAAACTGCGACTCTCAAGCCAAATGCGGCTCTTTGGCTCCTTGAGTGTGGCTCTTCCACAAAATACCGCAGCTGGGCAAAAGTCTGTTTTGAAGAAGTGGCGTTAGAAGAAGTTTAAGTTTAAAAAATTTGGCTCTCAAAAGAAATTTCAATCGTTGTACTGTTGATATTTGGCTCTGTTGACTAATGAGTTTGCTTGACCATTGGTTTAGCCCATCATATGAATTGGCTCTTTTGAGATTTATTTCCACTTGTGGCCAGGAATTAGTGCAGCAGACTAGGGAAAGGAAGTGTGGATGGAAGGGAAGTGATTAGAGAAAACAATGGACATTGTTAGGATATTTATTTTGTCTTCTTTATTCTAACTACCATTCTATGGTACTGTCTTCTCTAGATATTGTCACTGCACATTGTATTTCTCCCCATTAACTCATGAGCTCCTTGAAGGTAGATACTATATTATCCTCAATTTTTCTATTCTGTTTCTAGCATAAGCTGGCATTAAATAGGTGCCAAGTGAATGTTTACGAAATTTCTTTTTATTCTTAATGGTATTATGCCTTCTGTTTGATAAAGACTTCCCAGCATTATCTCCAGTCATTTACTATTCGTTGCTCTGTTCTTTGTGCATCTACTATACCTGTTTCCAGTCTTCATGGTCACTTTGTCTTGGTAAATGGTAATTTATCTAAACTGGGAGCCCCAAAGAGCAGGAACTGTCTTCTTTGTTTTTGTATCTCTGGTAGCACTTAATAGGAAATGACCTCCCCACTCTGTAGAAATTTGTAGAATGAATAGTATTGACATTAACCTCAGTTCAAAATGCACATAGCGCACACACACACACACACACACACACACACACACACATATATATATAATTCTTTAGCCAATATGATTGTATAAAACGTTAAAAAGAAGGAATCACAGATAATTTGTTCTCAATTTAGATAACTTCTTAATCTCATGACCTGTACTCTGATGCTGTTCAATTCAGTAGTTATTAGCCACATAGGACTATTTAAATTAATGAGAATTAAATGCCCCAAATTGGACAAAATTGTGATCCCCAAATTAACCAAACTTACTAACTTGGAAGAATTTCCAGGCATGGCACAAGGAGGAGAAACCTCAACCCAGAGCTAGGCTGACTCTGAGTTGAGGTGATGGAGGTGAGACTAAGGCAGCTAAATTTACAGGACAGAGGCCAGAGATCAGAAGGTCACATAGAGCCAACTAAATTTGTAGAAGATACAAATTTAGTACTTATTAAGATGTGGACCAGCTTAAGCATGTGAAGAAACTACACTAATGGGAGAGAGAATCACTTGAAAGGATTAGAGGGAACAGTACTGGATGTTCACATACGACAATGCACAATTATTCAATGTTAATGAAAAGTTATATTGGGCAGAACTGCTTCTTAAATTACTTGGCCATTATTAACATGCTTATTAGATTTTAATCTTAGGTCCTTTGCTCCTCTTGGCAATCTTCTGGTTCAAGAATTAATCTCTAGAAGCCATGGGATACCTTATTTTTTGGTACTTTTTCTGGCTCTTTCTTCCTTCTTTCCCCCTCTCTCTGACTATCTCTATTTCTCTCTCTCTTGCATATATCCAAATTCTATTTTTTAAATGTCTTTACTGGTTAAGCATTTTCTATACTTCTAATAGGTATGAAATATACTTAGTGATTAGTTTTCTTCTGATTTTTAGTGGATTCAAAAGGAAATTTTTTACTGGTTTTAGTGCCACTTTTTTTACTTCGAAAAATATTCTTAGTACTAAATAGAGCTGTATATAATGTGCTTGTGTGTGCGTGAGCGTGTACATGTGCGTACTTACCATTTTACATCAGAACAGTCTGAAAATGGATTTATTATCTCTCTCTTTGCCCATTTTTGACTTTCATTAGGAGTAGGAGCTTTTCACCTGGATTCAGATCCCTCTGGCAATTATTGGTTATTTTACTTTGGTTAGATTACTTTACCACTTTTATTCTTCTTTGCCACATCCATAAAATGAAAAAAAAATTATCACCTTGCTTATAAGGAGTTGTAAAAGTTGTCAGTAATGTGTGTAAAGTGCTTAGCAAATAGTAGGGTTATTAGTAGCTATAATTATAACCATTGTCTGTGCTTAATAGCTAATCAATGCATATCAAGTGAACGATGATCACCAAAGGGAGTTTGCTTAAAGGAGTCACTCTTAAATTTTTGGAGGTGAGAAATGTAAGGGAGGAGAATTGAGGAATGAAAAAAAGATCAATTATCATCAGGTCCGCTGTTCTCTCCTTCCATACACATGAAAAAAAATCGGGGAAGTATAGCCATATTTTTTTTTCTTATTTTTGGCTTCTGATTTTCTGGCTTTTATTTACTTGAAAAGCCTTATGATGTCAGAAACCCAGTTGAGAGGCAGTATAATGGAAAAGTTAAGAACATAAGCTTGAGACAGAATGCCTGGGCTCAAGTTCTGGCTCCACCTCTTACTGGTTATATATGTCCATGAACATGTTATTAACCTCTCTGTGGCTCAATGTTCTCATTAAAAAAAAAAAAAAAAAAAAAGCCCAGCTGGTGTTGCTCAGTGGTTGAGGGTTGAGTGTCCATCTGTGAGCCAGTAGGTCATGGTTCGATTCCCCGATTCCCCGTCTGGGCTCATGCCCAGGTTGTATGCTTGATCCCCAGTGTGGGGTGGGCAAGAGGCAGCCAATCAATGATTTTTTCTCATCATTGATGTTTCTGTCTCTTTCTCCCCTCCCTTCCTCTCTGAAATCAATAAAAATATATTTAAATACACACATATACACACACACACACAGAAATCTGGCAAACATGATATCATGATATGGTTTAAAATCCAACTTCTTCCACTTGACTAGTCTGAACAGATTGTTTAACCTGTCTCAGCCTCAGTTTTCTTATCTGTTACATAGGAATAATAGTATCTACCTTATAACATTGTTGTAAGCCTTAATATAACCTGTATTTAAAAAAATCACTAGTATGGTTTATGTTTTGGTTTGCTTAGATCAGGCTCAGTTTAAGCCTATTGTCATTCTGGCTCAATTATTAGTAATGCCCCCTTTCACTCAAAAAGTCTTGTTTTAGGTAATAAATTATGTGATCATTTTGCCTCTCACAGTTCCTTGCATATAATTGTCATGCAAATAGAACTTTTCTTTATTATTATTATTATTAATTGCTTGGCATTAATATGCTTGGTGAACTAAGTTCAGCAAGGCAATAAATATTTAATGATGGCTTACTATGTTAAAGTGCTGTTCAGCTGGTCTGCAAAGCTATAGTTGTGAAAACAGTAAAGGGATTTTAAGTAGTTAAAAGGAGATTGAAAGGAGTCCAATGTGCTATCAGAGAAGATAAAATAAATATATAACTAGGGAAAAGGAGATTGGCGTTTTAAGAAATAGTTGATTAAAATGTGCTTCTTTATGTTTTTCTAGGTGTACCTTATAAATTTGAAGTACAGCAGATGTTGGAAGAACCTCAGTGGGGATTAGTGTTTGAAAAGACAAGATGGATAATAGAAAAATATAGACTCTCCCATAGGTACGTGCTGTGGTTTGAGATGGTTGCGTATCTGCAGTATTTCTCATTAAATTGTTTTAGAGAAAACCCAAGTTAAATTGTGATGTATGGCATCAGGGATAGTTTATTACAGAACTGATTAGTTTATAGTACTTGTTTCATCAATCTGTTTTCTTGTTTTTCACAACAGCAGTGTCCCTATGGATAAAATTTTTCGCCGGGATTCTGACCTGACTTGTTTGCAGAAAGTAAGCTGCCTTTATTTTGTTTTATTTTATTTTATTTTATTTTATTAGTCCACCAAAGAAAAAATATGTTCTTTAATGTCACAGATTTTTTCCAAAGAGAATACAGGGGTGAAAAATATTCTCTAACGATTCATAAAAACGGAGCGTGTATATCAGTCCCCACCAGGATCCAACCTTTGGTGTTTAATATATGTTATCCATTTAAATTAAATAGTCTGGATTGAATTTAACATTACAAATTAATTTTTAATTCACAGATATTAAATCCCGACCGTGGAGAGTCAGTTTCTCTTCTAAACAGTAATGAAATCAAAATTTTCTCTCAGACACTTAACTGTGGCTGTCACATTTGTCTTCTTCTTTTCTTATGCCAGACGACAGGCGGAAAGAGAAACAAGCAAGATTCTCCTTTTGCATTTTCTGTGAAATGAAACTGAAATTGAATACTATTGACCCTCTCCAGGTTAGGAGACACTTTCTCCTTCCCTCAGCTGATTCCCTGTAAACTTTGCAAATTAGCTTGCTTTGAGCAATCTGTAAAGGCAGGGGCAGCTCAGCAGTGGAAAAAGCCTTCTTCTTTCCAAAGTGTATTATCTGGACCTACATGACAGTTAATTCTTTATCCTAGATAATTCTTGTATATTCTATATAATAAAAGGCTAATATGCAAATTGTCCCCTCAACCAGGAGTTCAACCAACAGGCAGACCGCCAACCACCCATGTCCCTTCCCCTGCCCCGAGCTGCCTGTCATTGTGGAGATTGGCAGCCTTGTGGCTGAGGCCATCTAGACCTGGTGGCACCTGCTCTTCACCACCTCAGCCCCACTTCCCTGTACTCTGGTCCCGGGGGCCCCGAGGCTCCCCTCTCTGTCACACTTCCTACCCCCACCCCCCACATGACTTGTAACTGTTACGCCCAGACTTTGTGATCCCCAAGGACCACCAAGGAGCCAAGTCCGATGCAATAAACAAAAGAGCCTTTTCCATGCTAGCATGGGCTCTGTCTCACTCACGCCGAGCTGCCTTTATTTTAATTGGTTCCTTTGTTCGAGGATTCTAAAGCTATTTATCTCAATGTGTTTTCCCAGGATGCTTAATGCTTTGTGGATACATTTTCTGTTTCTTTTATTGCTTTTTTTCCTTTTTAAAATTAATTTCTAGGAGAAAATTAGTAATATGTTTTGTTGCCCACACTTGCATATAGAAAAAACACTATTTTAGAATAAATTTGTCAGTGTTAGCTGATAAATTTCTTAGCATATTATTGTACACAATAGAGAACATTTTTCTCATTTTATTAAATTAAAAAGCACCATGTTTCCATTTAGTTTTAACAATTGATCATTTTAAAGAATGGTATTATATATCTAACAATTAAATTTAAATGGTCTTATTTAATTTTCTGGTAGGATATAAGAGTCCTAAATTCTTTTATTTCACTTTTAATTTTGTTTATAAAGGTAATGAATTAAGACCGGTAGACTGGCAACATTTCTCTCTCTTTTTTTGGTAGCAGTTTGGAAATAGAAAATGTAAACATGCTGTTTCTTTTATAATATTTTACCTCCTTCTATTATAACCATTTTATCTGTTTTAAGATTAATATGCACCTTTCCCAGGAAATAGACTGTATAGCATCCTAATTTTAAAATGGTAGAGTCCTGTGTTTGTATTTGCATAGATTTTAAAAAATCTTATCTGAGTTTAAAAATTTTTTATTTTTATTGAATTTAGAGAGAGGGAAAAAGAGAGAAATATTGATCCATCGGCTCTCTCCTGTAGGTCCCATTCTGGGGATCAAGCCCACAATTTGAGCATGAGCCCAGACTGGGAATCAAGCTGGCAGCCTCCTGGTGCATGGGGCAGCACTCAACCAACTGAGCCACATGGGCCAGGCTGGATATTTTGTTTTGTAATGTAGCTACTTAAAAAAAGAACACAGGCCATACCTGGGTGTCTCTCAGTTGGTAGCATCAGCCAGTGCATCAAAAGGTTGCAGGTTCTATTCCTGGTCAGGGGATATACCTAGGTTGCGGGTTCAATCCCTTCTTGGAGCACATGTTGGAGGCAGCTGGTTGATGTTTCTTAAATCAATGTTCCTCTTTCTTACTACCTCTTTAAATACCAATAAAAACATATCCTCAGATGAGCATTTAAAAAAAAAAAGCACAGTCACAAATTTGTCCAAAGTAGAAAGCATCACTTATGCATATACAATATCAAATTTGTTTCCTTATCCTATATAATAAAGAGGTAATATGCAAATTGACCATCATTCTATCACACAAGATGGCCTCCCCCATGTGGACACAAGATGACCAGCAGAGGAGGGCAGTTGAGAGGGACCAGGCCTGCAAGGGAAGGCAGTTGGGGACCTTCAGGCCTGCAGGGGAGGGCAGTTAGGGGCAATCAGGCCGGCAGGGGAGCAGTTAGGCATCGATCAAGCTGGCAGGGGAGTGGTTAGGGGGTGATCAGGCTGGCAGGCAGAAGTGGTTAAGGGCAATAGGCAGGCAGGCAGGCGAGGGTTTGGGATCCAGCAGTCCTGGATTGTGAGAGTGATGCCCGACTGCCCCTTTAGGCCTGATTCCGGGATTGGGCCTAAATGGACAGTCGGACATCCCTCGAGGTGTCCCAGTTTGGAGAAGGTGCAGGCTGGACTGAGGGACACACACATACCCCATGCACGAATTTTGTGCACTGGGCCTCTAATATAAATCATAAAGGAACTAACCTAAGCAGTCAACATTGGCTTCCTATACTCCAGCTGCACAGTTACTATGCACAAGTTTGTGTTCTCCCATATGTAAGAAAAATGTTTATCATTTGAGCATTAGAAAATGTGAGATTTATCATTAAATAAGGATAATAATGTAAACCTTGTACTTTTCATGTGTTCAAATGTAAAACTTTTCTTTTTCAACTAGCTTTTGGAGTGTCTGAGGAAAACTCTGAGCAAAGTGACAAATTGCTTCATCGCTGAAGAATTCTTGACTCAAATAGAAGATTTATTCCTTTCAAGTTATAAAAGCAAGCAGGAGAATGAAGTGGGTGAAGACAACTGTGCTGTAGGTCCAAAGGAATTGTTAATGTAGTGACTTTAAAGTAAGACATTTTAATCTTGACACAGTAGGTCCTATTGTCCTTTACAACCTTGAATGATTGTAATTTAGTTAACAGTGACACAATTTTGATATTTTTCTCTAATTCACAAAATCTGAACTTTGCCACCTAAATCATGTAACAGAAAGGGATAGGGACTTGCTTTTATGTAGTGAGTACCAGAGTTTGTGTAAATGGGTTTGCCACATTGCTCCTGTCCTGTGGGTGTGGCCAGCAAGCAGAGCAGCAGACTGAAGGGCTGTCTGCTTTACTGTTGTATTCAGGTTGATAAGCAGAGTGTGTCTCTAATTTTTATTTCTTCCTGAACTAGTCATTCCATTTTTGGGAACTCATGTCTCATTAGGAGCACTTTCATCCTTTACATGTGTTTTGGTGAGATTTGTTTATGGTTGCAAATATGATATGGATGGGTGGTCCCAGAGGTAATTAACATGGTTGAAAATTACTGATTTAATAAATATAACAACATGCAATGTGAGGCCAGGGGGAGGCCTAAGGAGAAAAATCTTAAAAATAGGGAGGAGCCCCAAAGAAGAGAATCCAATTACCGGTTTTTTAATTATAGATATTTGCTTCCATTTTTTTTTTTTAATATATATCCACAATACTATAGGATATGCCATTCTCTCAACTCTGAAACATTTTGTATGGATTTCAGATATATAAAATAATTAGCTTCAACTATATATCCACACATTAGTGTGTATGTGATAAAACCTCACTTTAACTGCAACACAGATAATCATAACCCTCAAACTAGATTGTTTTTCTATTACCTGCTGTTAGTAGAAAGAGACAAATTACAATAAAGCTTAAAGAAGATATTTACTTTTTTAAAAAAGAAAAAAGCCTTCCAGGACATATTACATATACAACCCAATTTGATATACTTTTTGAATGTAGAACAGAAGTCAGCAAACTTTTTATGTAAAGAGGCAGTTAGTCAATAACTTAGGCTTTGCTGAACACATACTATCTGTCAGACATTCTTTATATCATTTTACAACCCTTAAAAATGTAAAGCCATTCTTAGCTCATAAGCCTCACAAAAAAACAATGCTGCCCATTACCTTCCAACCCCTGCTCTAGAGAATTGCAGATAATTAGGATTTTTTTTCAGATGCATGAGCCTGAGACACTGAAAGATCTTGCATCATTTTCAAACAATAAAACTCAAAATTGTGATTTACATTTAAGTACATTTAAAAAAAAAAACACCTAACAATCATGCTGCCTTATTTATCCTAATTGTAGTTTATTTCTATTAACCATCAAATTTATATCCATTCCCCAACATTCCTATTAATAACAGGTTTGTTATATCTAATCTGGGTATGATCCTGTATTTTACCTTTTTGGTTATAATCAGTAGCCAAGGAGAAATAAGGCAGTACTGGAAGGAGCAGTGAGCCAGTTTTAGATGACCTGGGTCTTGATTCATCCTTGTAATTTTGGGGGATAAGCTTACTAACTTCTTTAGGCCTAGATTCCTGTATATCTGAGATCTGAGTTATCTTCCTGACATCCTTCCAAGTCTGAAATCATATATTTAATTTTAATTGTTGGATCACTCACCTGAAACTTGATATTTTGAGTTGGTATAGTTATAAAATTAGCAAATGTTTTTAAAGAAAACTGGTAGTATTTTCTATTTCTCTATATGCATTTAGAATCAACAATGAAACCTAACATATAAAGCAATTACTTTGGAGATTGGGGGTGTAAGCTCTAGACTAAAACTCAGGAAACTTTAAGAGTTCTTACCCTAATTCTTTTATCAGCTTTGCTGTGTGACTGATAAAATCACATAACCTGTCTGGACCTCAGGTTCTTAATCTAGAATTCAAGGGTCTAATGTTATGATTTAGTATTTATTTCCAAGTGCAGAAAAATCTGTGATTCTGTAAAGTGTAGTAATTCATTTCTTTGTACTCTTCCTTTTGATGTATTTTCCTCATTGTACATGGGGAGCAGATCTTAAAAAATGGTATTAGTTAGCTTTTGTGATCGATAGTACCCAAATTTATGAGTGATGGAAAAGGGTGGAAATTGTTAGAAGCTCTGTTCTCCAATCTGGGTCTCCTGCATGCAAGTGGTTAGCTATATTTACTAAGCCATACTGTGAGGAATGCGAAGGTGCTAATTCTCAGCATTTAGAGATTTGAGAGCACAATTTTTTAAATTAAATATTTTTTTTAAAACAAAATATTCTATTTAAAAACCACATCCTTCCCCATTTTATTTTTGGATAGTGTAATTTTAGAACATTAAAAGTTGTGATATTTCCTCCCCTCCTCCCTCATTCATTTTCCCTGCTTTCTTTTCTTTTCTTAGCATATTCTTAAAACATTTTTGTAGCTGGAAGTACCCACATTTCTGTCACTGCCAACCTTGGGCTATTAGGGTATTGAAGCAGGCAGGTTTTTCTTGGAGAAACAGAAGAAATTTAGAACTGAATGGCAGTGTAGTACAGGAAGTTCAGGAGGCAAGGTCTTAAAGGAGAATATACCTCTTAAATATGTACAGTATTGGAGATAGATTTGAAAACATCCAAGTCTCTTCAAATGAACTTAATTTTTTTCTTCTAGCTTGGCTAGTAAAAATTGACACTATTACTTTGCCAGTGTTAGATTTAGTTCTCTTGAAAAATCTAATCCCAAAGTAACGTTCAAAAAAAGAAAAATCAGTAGAATGAGATCAGACTCTCCTTCCCTCTCCATTATTCTAGTGTTGGTCCATTGGTCCCATATCCAGAACTACCTTATGACTATCACAGGGTCTAAGACACTTTTATCTTCTTGAACCTCTTCCATTAAAAATTAATCCTACATAATAAAAGCCTAATATGCTAAGTGTCCGGTCATCTGGTTGTTCATTCAACCAATCAAAGCATAATATGCTAATGATAGGCTAAGGATGCTTAACCACTTGCTATGACTTATACTGACCACTGGGGGCAGATGTTCCGACCGGTAGGTTAGCTTGCTGCTGGGGTCCAGCCGATGATAGGGACTGAGTGAGACCAGGACTGAGCAAGACGTACCAGACATGCCCTGGAGCTCTTCCACAGTCCCTCCCCAAGTGGGCCAACCTCCCTCGTCCCTATCCAGCTCCAGTCCTGCAGCAGTGGGGTCCCTTGGCCTGGCCTTTGCCCTCTCATAATCTGGGACCCCTTGGGAGATGTCAGAGCCAGTTTTGGCCCAATCCCTTAGGCCAGGTCAAGGGACCTCACTGGTCACTGGTGCATGAATTCATGCACCTGGTCTTTAGTACATTATCATTGCATTTGCATAAAATGAATTTATAATCTATAGTTTCCCTTCATTTCCCTCAAGCCCTTTCTTCATCCCTGGGACTCCTCTACTTCTGACCTGTCAGCATTTAGGTACAAGGTCATTCATTCTATCATTTGTTGAAAGCAGGACCTGAAGAATAGAGATGGACAGACACATTCATATTTCCCAGGAGCTGATTAATGCTGCCCCAGCCTCTCTCTCTAACTTGACTCCCCCACAGGAGTGGTAGGGTCTGTGACGTGCACCCTACAAGCAGGGTCAGAGAACCTCTGCATCTTTCTGGGCAACAGAGGAAACTATGGCTTCAACATGCCAACCTGAGCAGGTTTTCTGCTCTTCAGTTTACCTGCTTCCTGTTTTACACTGGGTCCTAACAAGGTGAGCTGGAGGACCTTAGGATCTGATCTAGTCTAGGTGTCCTAGGATTGATGCTTGGTCCTGTACCTAAATAAGAGCCATATGACATTTGAATACCTGAAAGGTAGCTCCCTGTCCTCAAGTCATCAGCAGATATCCAGTTGATGGATTTCTCAGTAAAAATGAAGTTAGGATACCCACATTTTGTGTTTGTTCACTTATTTTTTTTTTACGTTTTTCCTCTACCAATAGCTAGAGACTAAATCTATAATCACACACATCATGGCAGTTAGGAAAACTTCACTTAAGCACAAAGGAATAAACACAAACATTTTTGTCAGTACCTGCTCCATCAGGGTTTATATACATTTAACACATTTGATCTGTATCTCCAGTTCTTCAGTAGTTTAGTAATTTTCTTATAAATTAATAACAGATTTTGCAATATTTCCAGAAAATCATTATAGAGAATAATGTAATATATTTAATTCCTGACCTTTCATTAAGTGGTTTTATATGTGCTGTTTCCCCAAACTGTTTTCTCTGAGTGTTTTTCTGTTTTCATTTAACCTGTTATTTGTGCTTTCTGCTGTTTTCCAAGGTTTTTTAAAATATGTTTTTATTGATTTTAGGGAGGGAGAAGGAGAGAGATAAAAACATTGATTAGAGAGGAACATCAACCAACTGTCTCCTGCAAACCTCCTAATGGAGATCAAGCCTGCAACCCAGGCATGTGTCCTAACAGGCACTCAGACCACTGAGCCACACTGGCCAGGCATCCGAATCTTTTAAGTCATCTTAAATCCTTTCTGGAACAAGACAGAGAACACATATGGTCTCACCCTAAATAATTAGCTTATGACATCTTGTTTTTATTTTCTTTGAATATTACTTATGAATTTATTCATAAGGACTTTAATTTTAGGGGAAAATGCCTGATTTGCTATCTTTGAGAATTCCTTAAGTAGTTCCTTAGGAATTAAGAAGGATGTAAAATATGATTTCATAGATTATGTTCTTCTTTCATAGGATACAAAAGAATATTTGTTTCAACCTATGGATGGTAAAGTAGTATGTAGATTCTAGCATGACTTAAATAGATTAGTCATATATCTTTAAATCTGTGGATTTGACATGTAAATTGTGTATTATGTATAAGTTTACAATGATTATTGATAAGACTATTGCTGTTTTCCCAAAATATTATCAGTGTTTATGGATTTCTTTTAGTAGTTTGAATCTTGTAATGTTCTGTAACAAAATACAACTTAAGCTATTTTGTACATTTAAATATGATGCCATGTTGTCTATTAATATTAAAGAATATTGTGAATATGAATATTTATAAAATTATGAAAACTTTTTCTCAAAATTATTGAACTATCCTCCCAATACTTAACTCTGACATATTATAAAATATCTGACTTTAAAAAGTGAGATTTTATCTTGTGGTAAAAATTAAAGAGAAACATTCTGAAGATTCTATATAAGTAAAGTTTTGAAAATAAAGTGGTGAATCATTTTGTCTTTTTCTGAATTATTAACAGCATACACATTGAATGCCAAAAAAATGTCCCATTAATTTAGTATACATTGGCTAAGCATCTATTATGTTGAGATTGTAGGGGGCACAAAGATGAATAAATCTTGGTTTCTTCTCATGAGAAGCCTATTACCTAATGTGTTAGAAACACTTAAAAACCTGACATGGATAGCTAACTTTTCTTAAGATACAAACTGTAATTGAAGATAAAAGACCTCACAGGTAATAGATGTTTAGACAAATGAGAAATGATTCTCTAAAATGTGAGCATTGGTCCTGTTTTCTTGGAAGTGAGTGCCTTCAAATGGCCTGGTATGGTTTGGGGTAGATGACATTTGGGGGAAGATGTTCCAGAAAGAAGTGACTTTGGCATGGGAGGCATAAATGTAAGGAGTGAGAAATATTTAAAGAATATTTAGCGTTGAAACTGGTTTGGCTCAGTGGATAGAGTGTTAGCCTATGGACTGAAAGGTCCCAGGTTCAATTCTGGTCAAGGGCATGTATGTTGGTTGCTGGCACATCCCCAGTGGGGGTTGTGTAGGAGACAGCTGATTGATGTTTCTCTCTCATCGATCTTTCTAACTATCTCTTCCTCTCTGTAAAAAATCAATAAAATATATATATTTTTAAAAAGAATATTTAACATCTGGTGCCAGAGTATGTGCAGATACTAATTATGAAGGCAATTCATATCCAGTCAACTAAAAATACAGAAGATGTAAGTAAGAAAAATCTCACCTTAAAATTAGAATTTACTCTTAACTAGTCTAACTTTTTAGTCTTTCCTCCTAGTATATACAAACCTATCAATTTTGAAAAACAACGGCCATTTTATATATATACAATAGTATCTTTAATTTCTATATGTATATAGTATCTTTAATTTCTGTTCTTTCATTGGGGACTTCCCTCCATAGCCACACATAAACATCTATTCTTGGCAATAGGTACCTAGCACATTCAGTAGTACAGATTTGCATAACTGGTCAGTTTTTAATTGATGAAGGTTAGGTTCTTGTTTTTCTATGAGAAATTGACCTTTTTTGTACACTGCTAATATGTCTCTGAGTAAATTTCTAATATATATATATTTTATTGATTACAGAGAGGAAACGAGCAAAAGAGAAAGAGAGTGAGAAACATCAATGATGAGAGAGAATCATTGATCAGCTGCCTCCTGCACGCACCCTTACTGGGGATCAAGTCCAAAACCTGGGCATGTGCCTGTGCCCGGAATCAAACCCTGAACCCTTCAATCCACAGGCCAATGCTGTATCCACTGAGCCAAACCAGATAAGGCTGAATAAATTTTTAGAAGCTTAGTTGCCAGATCAAGATCTATGTACCCTTTAAATTTGTTAGTATCTGCAGAAAAGTTTTCAGTATAAGCTAATTTTTCCCATAGTAATACAGCTATGTACATCTTGTTTACAGAACCAATTTGAACTCAAGCTCCTAAATGATTATTTAGGTGGCAAAGTACAATGAAATCCTAAGAGTTATAATTCTACAAGGCATTTATTTCAGTGGAAGTTCATTACTCTGTACAGCTGTATGGGTTCTCGCTAATTAAGCATTTGATATAATTTTCTGATTGAGGCCAGAATCATATCCCGCCTGTGGCTCCAGATCGGCATTGTCTCACAATCCTATTTGTACTGTAATGGTTTTTCTTAGTGTTGCTGATGTGTTTCCTCATCACTGATTCTCAATTATCTTCCCATAGAATGCTAGCTTAAATAAAATATTGTCAGTATCTGCAAAAGTATAGCTAAATAAAAATACTTGTTTTGTCTTCCATATACTTCCTGCGATCAAAAACAATTCTCTTTAATAACTAATGAGTACCTGTCACTGGATATAATCAATGATTCCTTTTCACTTCTCCCATTAATAAGGTCATCTCAAACTATAAAAGAATGGGAACATTTCAGAAAGCAAGTTAACTGCTTAGTTTATTTTATCTACATCAGTGATTATTGAACTTTCTGTGGTTCCAAAATACCTGATAAACACAGCTCAGCAGTAATTGTGGCATCTATCCCACCGATAGCCAGAGATTGTCTATATCAGACTCCATTTGTGTAACAAAGTTTATTCGAAATCTTAAGACCTTTCTTCAGAACAACTTTTTTTTTTTTTTTTCAAATCAGAACATGACCATCAGAACAACTATTTTCTTAATCACAAGACCTAATGAGTAGACTTACCCCATTCTCTGGAGAGAAAGAGAATTTGCTTTTATGAGGTCAGTTTGCTTTTATGCAAAGCCTCAAATTGGACTCCAATATTATGGGGTTGGAGAGTAGTTAGGATAATTAAAGCAAGCTCTCTAACACACCACCCTTAATTTTCAGTATCTGAAACAGTAATAAGTTCTCACTCACACGAAGTGCACTGCAGGTGTTCTGCTCGCTTTGCTCTCCTGGGTGGATAATGTCCAGTAGGTAATTCAGAAACCCAGGTTTCTTTC